TTGTAAGGGGTGTAACTAGCTTATATGTTTTTAAAGAGGCAGTGTGATTATTATAGGCTGTAGCCGTAGTTTCTGCTTTATAAAACTGTTGTATTATTCAGAGTTGGTCCCGTGTTGCTTTCACATCAGCGTGTGTAATTTATGAGAGATGCCTTTCTGTGCTCTGCAGTTATGTAACGATGGAGTCAGTCCTTTTAGTCACATCTTGGAGATAATGCCATGCATGATCTGGTGCAATACTGCAGGATCTTGTGTGACCTGTTGGTGACCTGTTGGCTCTCTGTGAGTTGTGAATGAATCTCAGGCCCTGTCCACACGTAGCCGGGAATCTGCCAAAGCGTAGATATTTTTCTCCGTTTTGGGTGTCTGCGTGTGGACAGACAAAACCGGAGTTTTAAGGTCCGCAACGTCACTTTCCGCGACCAAAAATGCTGACGTCATGTGTGCGACCTGTGTTTACACTAGCCGACGGCATGGATGCCCTCAGAGCTGCGCTCGCTTTATCAATTGTCCAAGCGCTTTTTGCTTCTTTGTTTTTGCAAGCGGAATTACTGCTCCTTGCGGAAGACCACAGACAACGCGGACTGGATACAATTCGGGGGAAGTACTGCCGCCTACAGGTCTGGCATGTCCTTAACAACGTATTTATCCGGGTACGTGTGGACAGAGTTTTGTTTTAAACGAGGTGGTGTGGATGCAAGTTTTTGGAGGGGCGGATATTTGTTTTTAAAAAAAAAACCCGGCTACGTGTGGATTAGACCTTAGTCACTTTCACAAGAAATTTAGCCCACTATTGGTAAAAAATGACTGAGCTCAAGCTATTTTTGTCTTTGCAAATCTCAGTTGGCTGTGACGGCGATCTAAGTTGACTCCAAAAGGTACTCAGCTGAATATTTTCTGAAAGCTTTATTAAAAACTGCATGGATACTTGGCTAACACGTACACAGGCTGATTTTCAGCGGTCAACATGAGCACAAAAGTAACTTTAGATTCAGATGCAGCGGAAACGTAAACATTTAGCATGAAACCACCATGTATGTGTAATCTTAGTTTAGCTTTAAGCCCAAGTTTCATTTTAATTACAATATACATTTTTTCCTCATACCCTCAAAAGGCCATCTGTGTGACAACATTAGAACATATAATATATGAGAACATGTAATGTGAAACTAAAGGCGGTGTGGGAACAGCTGTGGAAGCCCAGGATTTCCCACATGTGCATTTTAATGCAGTTTAATTTAAAGTAATCCTCCAGACGCCGGGCTTTACTGCTGGTTTCTGACCAGCTGAGAGGCGATACGAAGCAGGGTGTAAATCACACCACTCAGCCAGGCAGCAAATGCTTTTGACTGAAGCTTTGTGAGTGTTGATATGACAGATCAGCAGCTGCTGCAATAATATGACTCTAAATTAGCCAAAGAGGTATGATAACATTCTAATTAGCTTTTAATGAATTAATAACATTTATCAACATAAATGAGGCATTGGATTTCCCAGCTCACTTTGTGTCATTTGCAAAGATTGACCATAATATTAAAACCACTGAGCCGAGGCCAGAGGAAGTCACAGAGCTGAATCGGCGTGTTTGAGTAATCATCTAAACCCTTTTTCTTTAGTGGATGTGGCTCAACCTGACTCACCTCTACATGGTGTGGGTTGTTGTACATTACAAGTGAAAAACAGTGTGTCACAAATACCCCCTCACCTCTCCAGGCTGGAGGAGCAGCGGCTCTACTCTGAGCCCCTCCCAGAAATCGGAGCTATTAAGCTTGTAGCAGCCTGAGCGGGGGATGGGTGAGCATGGCCAGCTCCAGTTTGTTTTCTTAAAGTGTGTAATGGTTTAATTTACATGTTATTTAATGGGCCATAAGACATAAGATTCCATAGTAAATGTGAAATCAACCTTATGGATCTGTGGGTACTGTTTAACCAGAAGATTGGAACTTTTTATTGCAGGGATTATGTAACAACTTCATATTAATTCAGAGACAACAGAAGAGAGATTCAAGCTTTAAAAGTTTAAAGATTTATTACTAAACAAATTAAACTAGACTAACTTTAACACTAAATGTATGGTGTAACTAAGGTGAATGGGATGGAGAATGGTGTAGTGTGGAATGTTGCTCAGAACCAGCAAATCCGAAGAAACGATTAGTTCTGGTGGGAAATGAAGGTGATGTCTTCGCGCTAAGCTTTGGTTAGGAGATTCATAAACACATTCGACACCATTCCGTCGGTCTACAAACCCTTAGCGGAAGTCCCCGTTAGATCAGGAGGTGTAGAGGTCCAGCTTGGGCCTTTGGAGCCAAAGCCTGTAGAAACAGCCGCGGCAGCCGACCAGACCAGTCTTGAGATACTTCCGGGTCACGACAGTTAATCGGCATCTAACAAGACCCAAACCTGGGTCGTGATGGTTCAGCTTTTATTCTGAAAAGGAACCGTTGCAGCAGGTGGAACAGCAACAGATTTTATCCAGCTTGTCGTTGGTTCTTTCGGCTGAAGAGGAAGTTACGGATTGGCCACTCCGACAACTTCTCTAGAACGCTTTGAACTGGCGTTAAAGATGACGTGGGCATAGTTTTATACTTCGGATGTTTTGGTTTATGGTCGAATGAAAAGATGACAGATTTACCAAACACCACCAAAACCACGCCTCCGTCAGATCTGGCAGATTCTGATTGGATCAGTAAAAGCAATGTGTCATGTCTTAACGCTACGTGAGATCAGTCCTAGTGGAACATTTAAAGTCATATTACTTATTATATTCTATAGGATTATAATAAAGTAATTAACATTTTCATTTCACAGATTGGCCACATTTTATTATTGACTAACACTTGGTTTGATTAGCTTTATTAAAATAGAGTTCTTTGATTTATTAAAAGGAGAGAGTCCTTTCTTCATTCTTCTCTTGAGCTGGAAAGAAGCAGTTCATAACAAATGCATGAGACCTTGAGACCATATCTCATGCAGACTAGTTCTGTGTCAGAGGAGAGGGGAAAATGACTTTTAGGTGGAAAACAGTCATTTCATTCCGTTAAAAGTGACAGAGCCCTAAAACAGCTCATTCTGGAAGGTACTGAAACTATCAAAATTAAAACTGCTGAAGTTAGTTTATGTGAGAGGAATTTAGTGCAAAGACCGTCATGGATATGTTTTGTATGGACCATAGAACTAAAGTCATAATAGGTCTTGTTTAAGCTGCAGTGAGATGCTCCTCTTGTTGATGATGTAAAGACATTAGTGACATGGTGTTATACTGTTAAGTTTAAGATTTTCTGCCCATTTTCGGACATTAACTCAAACAAATCAAACTTCTCTCAGTTCCTGATATCCCTGCCTGTCAAAGACGAGTCATTTTTCATTTAAGGTGAAAAAAATCCAGAGTTGATCACATCTTTTTGCCCTTTACTGGTTTTGTTTGCTTGCTGAAGCAAATATATTGGCTTTTATTAGCTTTTAATTAGATTTTCATCCCACCTCAGTCAGGATCCATTAAACTGAAGGAGGTTGTGATTGCTGTAAATATTTACTCTTTTCATGCTTACCTTCAAACCTTTTAATATTGGTGATTAATTCCACTGACCTGACCTGTTTTTTTAAATTTACAGTAACAGAAACGTAAACGATTTCTGTGCAGAAACTAGTCTTTATGCTCCTTTAGACACCTTTAGAGGGAAAGCAGAAAAAGTGGAGCCTTGGCTCTGAACACAATGATTTTCTTATTGGATACCATTTAAATGTTTGCCGGTGAAAGCTAAAGTTAAAGTCTCATTAGTCATCATCACACACTGGTGAAATTACATCTCCACATTTGACCGATCCCCTGGGGAGCGGTGAGCTGCTGCAGTGGCTGTGCTCGGGAACTATTTGGTGGTTTAACCCCCTCAATCCAACCCCTTAAAGCTGAGTGTCAAGCAGGAAGGCCTTGGGTTCCATTTGGTATGACCCGACCGTGGGTTTTAACCCAGATCTTCCAGTCCCAGGGCAGACACTCATAAAGCGTATTAGGAAGATTTTTTTTAAACATCTCTAATAAGAACAAGAATAATGCTCGACAACTCTGGGATCAGTACCTCCAAATCTGAGACCATGGTTCTCGACCGGGAAAGGGTGGCTTGCCAACTCCGGGTCGGGGGAGAGGTCCTACCTCAAGTGGAGGAGTTTAAGTATCTCGGGGTCTTGTTCACGAGTGAGGGTAGGAGGGATCGGGAGATCGACAGGCGGATTGGTTCGGCGTCTGCAGTGATGCGGATGCTGAGCCGATCTGTCGTGGTGAAGAGGGAGCTGAGCCGGAAAGCCAGGCTCTCGATTTACCGGTCGATCTACGTCCCAATCCTCACCTATGGTCATGAGCTTTGGGTAATGACCGAAAGAACGAGATCGCGGATACAAGCGGCCGAAATGAGTTTCCTCCGTAGGGTGGCCGGGCTCAGCCTTAGAGATAGGGTGAGGAGCTCGGACATTCGGGAGGGACTCGAGTAGAACCGCTGCTCCTCCGGATCGAAAGGAGTCAGTTGAGGTGGTTTAGGCATCTGGTCAGGATGCCTCCTGGACGCCTCCCTGGGGAGGTGTTTCGGGCATGTCCTGCCGGCAGGAGGCCCCCGGGTCGACCCAGGACACGTTGGAGAGGTTACATCTCCAATCTGGTCCGGGAACGCCTTGGGGTCCTGCCGGAGGAGCTGGTGGAGGTGGCCGGGGAGAGGACGGTCTGGAGCTCCCTAGTTGCTGCCCCCGCGACCCGGATAAGCAGAGGAAGACGGCGACGACAAACTCTAATACTTTAACTACGTCTAAATGCCAAAAGTGACTTAATACTTTTAAAACCTTCAGATAAAAGTTTAATTTCAGGGTGTGCTGCTTTAACAGAAATAAAATCTGTAATTGTGACAAAGTTGAGCTGCGGATTAAAAACAAACCCAACAAACAGAATTATGCAACGTTTAAGTCACCGATTTAGCTTTCATCTCTTGTTTTGTCTCTTTTATTGTCCCCTCTAGGCCGCAGCTGCAGGACAAACCCTGTCAACGACCTCCTTCACTTACGACCATTTACAGTGTATTCTGTACGCGCTGGGGGTCGGCATGTCCACCAAAGACCCTGACCATCTCAAGTGAGCACCTTCACACGTCTGCGTCCTAAATAAACAGTCACCAATGCTTCAGTCGTTCTGTTGACCAGAACAAACACTGAGTCACGTGCACGTACGGCCATCTGGGCTGTTATTTTTGTCTGCCTTTTGCTTCGCCTGTGCTGTTTCACAGTTCACCAACGCTTAAATTCTGATGCAGGTTCCTGTATGAAGGTCATCCAGACTTCAGCTGCCTCCCGACGTTCGGCGTCATCCCCTCGTTCTCCGCCATAATGGGCGGTCAGATCCTGCAGATCCCTGGGATGGACATAAACTTAGCACAGGTTGGGAAGCAAAAACAAAAATCATATAAATATGTGCACGTGTGTGCGTGTGTGGCAATGAGCACTTTGTAAATATGTTGATGCATATTTGTATCCATATGGGATATTTCACGCTGTCCTGCACACAGGAGGAACAGTAATAGTACTCGCATTACTCGTGCTAATGAGGCTGGACGTCTAAGCTGAGTTAGTGTCTCAGCTGCTGTTTTGTCTTCTGCCAGGTTTTGCACGGAGAGCAGTATCTGGAGCTTTTCAGACCTCTGCCAACTTCAGGTGATTGCACATTAATTCTCTGTAAGCGTGTGATATAGATCTCACGTCGTACACTTTGCAGGTAACTCGGTTTAGAAATAAAAGCATGCCAGCAGAGTGGAGCTGATTTAAACTAGAAATGGTTATAATAGATCTAGGAGCACTGATGTATAGTTTGATGGTAAAATGATAAATATGGATGTACTCGGGGAGCAAAGGGCAGGTTTGGGTGCGGAGGAGAGCTGCAGCTTCTTATGGGAAAGAGCAGAGATGGGTCAGAATAATCCAGCTGTCTGCGATGTTCCATTTCCACCCACAAGCCTACAGTGAAGCGTCTACATTAGTTTTCTTTTTACTTCATGGGTGAAACTGGCCTCTCAGGCTGGTGAGCAATGCTGCTATCCAGGCCAGCGAGGAGCTTTTGGCGGTGTTCTAAAAGGAAAGACTTGGTTTTTCCGTTTATGTGGTTGTAATGAAACATTTTATGGTGATTAGATCTTCCCTGATGGTAAAGGGTCCTGCCTCAGTGCAAACAGAGTTTGGCGATCACAACAGAGCGCTCCACACAGAGACCGCGGTTCTCGACCGGAAAAGGGTGGCTTGCCAACTCCGGGTCGGGGGAGAGGTCCTACCTCAAGTGGAGGAGTTTAAGTATCTCGGGGTCTTGTTGACGAGTGAGGGTAGGAGGGATCGGGAGATCGGCAGGCGGATTGGTTCAGCGTCTGCAGTGATGCGGACGCTGAGCCGATCTGTCGTGGTGAAGAGGGAGCCGAGCCAGAAAGCCAAGCTCTCGATTTACCGGTCGATCTACGTCCCAATCCTCACCTATGGTCGTGAGCTTTGGGTAATGACCGAAAGAACGAGATCGCGGATACAAGCGGCCGAAATGGGTTACCTCCGTAGGGTGGCTGGGCTCAGCCTTAGAGATAGGGTGAGGAGCTCGGACATTCGGGAGGGACTCGGAGTAGAACCGCTGCTCCTCCGGATCGAAAGGAGTCAGTTGAGGTGGTTTGGGCATCTGGTCAGGATGCCTCCTGGACGCCTCTCTGGGGAGGTGTTTCGGGCATGTCCTGCCGGCAGGAGGCCCCCGGGTCGACCCAGGACACGTTGGAGAGGTTACATCTCCAATCTGGTCCGGGAACGCCTTGGGGTCCTGCCGGAGGAGCTGGTGGAGGTGGCCGGGGAGAGGACGGTCTGGAGCTCCCTAGTTGGGATGCTGCCCCCGCGACCCGGACCCGGATAAGCAGAGGAAGACGACGACGACAACAGAGAGCTCAAGAAGACCTCCAAATGTTCTAGAGCATCTATAACTCTCTGTACTCTAGTTAGCTGGCTGTCTTTTGTTTGGAAAGAAATAATCTACTAATCCATCTTCTTCTCTTTTGCCAAATTATTCATATTTCTTCACCTGAAACAGGCCTCTACAGGTGTTGCCAAGTTTAATTTTGGAGTTTGATGCGTTCAGATGCCCAGCTAGTCAGTGATGGGGTCTAGTCAGGACTACGTAATGTTATTGCTAAAGCGTTTATTTTTTTGGATTTCCATAGTGGTGAAAAGATAATTTGGGAATAAATCTGATTGCAGCTTTAGATTCAAGTCCCACGGTTAATCTGGAGCCCAGAAGGTTGTTCAGGAACACTTGGTGATGTTTTTGATGTTATTTTTGAAGCTCCAGAAGCATCCTCTATATAAACTGTTGATGGAGAAAGAGTTAGAACCTGCTGCGCCTCCGTTTTTGTTTTTTGAACTCTAAAACAGGCATAAGCCTGCAGGAACATGCATCAGCATTTTCGTACTAAATATTTTGAGTACGAAGGAAAATCTGGTCGAACTCGGGTGAACTGGGCTGCCAAAGGTTTGCTTTAAACAATGACTCGAGTAGCCGATCTGTTCATTTTCTGTTAATTCTGGTTTCACTATAAGTTATAATTTGAGCAATCTTGCTAAATAAAGTAATGTGCGGTGCAGAAGTAAACGGTCCAAATGGACTTCCAGGTACCCTCACCTCCGTGAGCACCGTAGCTGATGTGTTGGACAAAGGCTCTGGAGCTGTCATCCTCTGTGATGGTGAGTTTCTGTTCTTTCAAGCTGCATTTATCTATATTCATGTTTTTTCATCAGTTTATTCTGGTGTTTTCTTTCCTCTCCGAGTTGCCTCTCAGGCCGAATGAATGAAAAGTAACTTGAAATCTGCGTCTGAAGGGATAGAAATAATAGACTATGAACAGCTCGTGTTTTTGTTTGATAACTCCACGGTGATGGATGTTATTTCAACCACTTTGATCTATAATTAATCAAATTCAAAGATATTTTATTAATTCCAGAGGGAAATTAGAGTTTCAGTACGCACAATTCTGACGTCAGACATACATGGGCAGGACACATGACAAGAATTGGTGACTGTGGTCATTCGCAACCCGAGTCGCGCTATCTTAATAGAGATAAGAGGGTTATATGAGGATTGGTTCAGGTGGAGGAAAAAAAGGCACTTCGGAGTTACCCTCCACAGGGAGGGCAGCTTTGCTCTGCAAAAAAACACCTCAGACAGAAATGCAACAGACTTCAGACAACACAACATAAGTGTCCACTAGGTGGGGAGGTAGGGTTGAGGAATATCCTCACATCAGTGCATGCAGCCGCAATGAGCAGCGCTCGTCACCTCTGTTTGGACAGGGGAGGGAGGAAATTGGGTTAGAAAGCACAGTGACTCCTGGAAACGGTTCCACGACCTTCACCGGTCGCAGTCCCGCCCAGGCTGGGATAGGGAGACAGAGTTTCCATGGTGACGGCTGCATTCCACATTTCTTCTGAGGGGGAGTAATCGCTTCAGCCTCACAGGCTCCAAGGCCACCAGATTCCGATAAGAATTGTTTTGGGGACAGACAGAGATGATTTCCCCTCTGCCTTAGTGTTCTGTTGGTCTCCAGCCCCTCTTGATCCAATAATGGCGTTATCAATCTATTCCCAACTGTGCTGATCCGGCAACTCTCTCTTTGATCGAATCCACCTTCTGTGCCAGAGCCTGAATCTCAGCCAAAGTTCCAAGCTTACGACTCATCTCGACAATTATATGAGTTTGTGCGTTCACAGCGTGGTGTAATCCATACCTGAGCTCCGGGATTGGGCCAATATTCCTCGAAAGCTCATTAATTTTTCGGTAAGCCAGGTAACCGCTCAGACCAAACGGCAAGAAACCCGACACCAACACCACGAATATCCAGACATCTTCAAAATCCTCTACAGACAGTTGAGAGAGGCAGATCAGGTTCCACTGTTTCCAGGAGTCCATGATATACCCAGCTGGCTCTGTCCCAGAGGGGCACCCGGGAGCCCCTTCTCCCGTTCTCATCGTTGAAAAGATTTTGTCAATCGTGTTGAGAGACCAACTGACCAGATCCATTTTTAATAATTTTCCAGTTTCTAGAAAAAATGCAGAAGCGCCGTACACCCAAAGACAGACAAAGAGCCTTGGGATAAGATAGGGAGGAGAGGAGGAAAAAAGCGTCTGTACTCTCCAAGAGCCGGAAGAAGAGAATCCAACTTAAACCAAAAGAACATGGGAACTGATGTTTTCTGCCAGTCTGCAAAAGGGAAATCCTTAAAGCGTCTTCATTCATTAAATCTGTCCGCTTCAATTGTGGTTAAAATCTTTTGGTAGCCTAGCATGCAACAAGCAGTTTTGAGTGACTGCAAATAATATTTTAACTGTGACACAATTATTTTCTGGGTTTACTTACTGAGTTGAGAAACATTATCCAGAGTTCACATTTTCAGGAGATTACTGATTGATTTACATCAGCAGGAAGCAGAGCCGCACCATTCAAACACCTGAGATGATTGATTATTATAGCCATTCTAGATTAAATATAGGATACCATAAAATCAATCAAGTCTTTATTTGTATAGCGCCTTCCACTGCCTTTGCAGGAGCCCAACGCGCTGAACATAGAATACAGTAAAAACACAGATGGCAATAAAAAGGAGGTAAAAACAACATACAGACTTTAAAGCACCACACAAAATGTAAACAAGGAGCATGAAAGCATACAACCAGGTCACATAAAAGCCAAACGATAAAAATGAGTCTTTAAATGACTCTTAAAAACCTGCAGCGAAGGCAACATTTAATATCAAGTGGAAGCTTATTCCAGAGAGAAGGAGCCAAGACCGAGAAAGTCCGATGTTTGTTATTGATTAATATATTGGACAATGGGTTTCCATAGCCTCCAACAACACGTTTTTGAGGCTAAATGGGAGGTGGCCACCACCGCCATTTTGACCATGTCACAGGTTCCGTCAAGCCCAGACAATTCCACAAAAGGGAAGAGAGGTGGAGCTGAGGGTGGGGCTGTAAGGCTGGGATCAACTGACGACACCCGGTCGAACTAGCTACAAGCTAACCTGAAGCTAACGCGGAGGTGGGAGCTAAGCTAACGGAGGTAGCAACCTAGCTACAACCGGAGTTAACTGTGCACAACACCAGAGCTTCTGAGTCAGAGATACGCCGGGCTGACTGCTGGGTAAAACCGGGTAGAACACAGAGGTCTCGGAGGCCTCCACAAGCCGGCAGCCCGCGCAGCAGACAGAAGCCGCGATCAGACAGAGATGCGCCGAGCTGCGGGGAGGGGAGAACCGGGTGGAACACAGAGGTCTCCCGAGAGCTCCACAAGCCGATAGTGGGAACCCAGCTCCACCAACATGTTATATTTCAACCCATTTTCTAAAGTGCAGCATTATGTTAAATGCACTGGGTTTTACCCTTTTACATTTAAATTTCATGGTTAAACAGTACATGTTAAAATCCAAGCTCAGCTCGGCAGTGACCTAAAATACATAAATATAATTTTACTTACAGAAAAAAATGAAGTGGAGACTCCTTGGACGCTCTATTAGTGCAATTAATGCCACAGCAAGTCATTTTGTCCAACAATTGCACAAAAAATATCCAACAAAGAATACACACACACACAGAGACTCAAAATCCCGGAGCAGTTTCCAGGCCAGACCGAGGCTCTACTGAGGCCTTTCCACGGAGCTAGCTCTGTGGTCACGTGGGTCTGATGCTCATTAATTATACAGAATTTTATATGATGAATGAATGACCTGCACTTGTATAGCGCCTCTCAGAGTAAGGACTCCAAAGCGCTTTACACTACAGTGTATCATTCATCCATTCACACACACATTCACACACTGATGGTGATGAGCTACAATGTAGCCACAGCTGCCCTGGGGCGCACTGACAGAGGCGAGGTACAGGCGCCACCGGTCCCTCTGACCACCACCTGCAGGCAAGGTGGGTAAAGTGTCTTGCCCAAGGACGCAACAGCAGAATTCTCTGTCCGGAGCCGGGATCGAACCTGCAACCTTCCGATTACTGGACAACCCGCTCAACCTGTTGAGCTACTGCTGCCCAGTAGTGGGCTTTTAATACACTTAAACAGAAGAGTGAGAAAAAAAATTCACCCCCCTCAGAGTTGTCATGAGTGTAAACTAGATCATTTAAACCAAAAACATGTTTTGGTACCAGGCTGTAAACATGTTTATTTCTGCTGTGAAATTGGTATTTTTAACATGGGAGTCAATGAGGATTTGCTCCTTCTGACACCAGCCCCTAGTGGATGAGGGTGGAACTGCATTTTATTTCACTTTCGCGTTTGCTTCAATTTTTCACCCGCATTGTGGGGGCTTGGTTGGAACATCTACTATGGCGGTAGCACGGTAAAAGAGCAACCACCCGAACTCACGAAATATCGTTAAAAGCCTCATTTTATGATGAAAATATAACAAGAACTTTATTCACTAAGAGGGACAAGACATGTCTGCAGTCACATTATCTCTAAATGCAAAACAAAGTACATATTTTTTGCTGACGAACAAGGCTAACAAATATCAGCTAACTCGCTAACGTTTGGCTAAGGATTGCAGATTCTGAGTTTCTACAGGAACTGAGGAAGAAAACAGACAACAGTTTTAAGAAGAGTAATATGTTGCAAATCATTATCTGCCTGTGTGTTGTGCCCTCATTCTGCCACCTTAACTTTAGCTAGCATGGAAAGCAGCACCATGTGGGTTTAGCCTTTATAAGAGGTATTAGGATATACCGCAGAGGTATTAGGTTAGGTAAAATAAGAGCATGTTGGCTAAATATAATGTAGCATAATAATAATAATAATATTAATAGTTTATTTGTTTAATTATTTTTGTGAGTCAACATTGAAACAAAAACACCACTTCAGTTTCCACTCATTCCTTCTGGCAGACTTCTCCCTTCCTCCTAATCTATGAACTCCAACTCACCTTTGATCCGGGCTGAACCGAGTTTAGTAGGATTCAGTTAAATTGCTTGTTTATGTAACTGTTAGAGTTATCTTGGTCCCCCAGAGCCAACGCCTACCTGTATTTAATGCAGTACTGCTGCCATGTTCAAATCATTTTACCTCCTGGTTTCCCACAGTGAAGACCTACAACGGTGAGGAGCTGGTGTGCTTTAACCAGTTTTCGGTGTTCGTGGTCGGAGCTGGAGGCTTTGGTGGCAAGAGGAGCTCAGAACAAGCTAAAGTATGTTGTTTTTGTTCAAATAAGAGAAACTTTTCCAGCAATACCCGTTTTTATACAACGTGACAAAGTGAAGCAAAAGAATCCCCCTGTAAGGTTTCTTAATGTAACTGACTCTAAATTCTCCAAGGAGTATCGGTGTTACTATAAATAACCTAAACCTGACTCACATTTGTTTCAGTTTATGCAGAATTACATAGATTTATCATTTTTGTTATCACTTCTGTGAAATTCTCCAGAGATCTGGACTTTGTGTTTGTTTTACCTCATTTTCTCCTTCAGTAGCTAACAGGATTGGGTCATTAACTACCATTAAATGCAGCAGCTATGATGAGAGCATCCCCTGTCCTCTGCACCGCCACTAGATGCAAATCAAGCTTGACTTAAAAAAGGTTAAAATTTGGCACAGTTTAAATTTGCAGAAAGATGAACAGAAGGTAAATTTCCCATGCCATCCATCTCTGACAGCATTTCATAGTTGAATCAGAATTTGAGAATACTCCAATAAGTGACCTGCTTGCAGCCCAGATCCGGTGTCGGTACAGGATCGGCTCGGGGTCCTTCGACTGCCGATGACGTCAAAGTACGGCAAACCCACGCGTACAAAATACACTACACATCTATATACTGTTGGAAAGAATTTATCAGTTTCGTTATTAAAATAATGTTTCTTACGACGTAAGTTTGTGTTTATAATGGTATTTGTAAAATAAAACACTATATTTTATTCATAATGTTGAACTCCTCTTTGAGCACATCCCTTGAAGGATCATAGGTATTAGCAACACCTGTGAAATTGTATTTGCAGGAAAGAAGTGTGTCCTGTTTATTGAAGTATTTTGTGTTTATAGTTTTTGACGTCTTGTCCATGCGTAGTTCAGTTACGCTCATAGCTGCTAGCCAAAACTCTGGAGTTAAAAGTTTTCTGGCTTTACTAAAATACCTGTCTGTACTTATTTGATTGATGGTAGTTTTACTTTCTATTAGACTACAAATGTAATCATTTGGCACGTTTCTAATTCATAATTTGCAAGAATGTAATCTGTGATATTAGCATTAGCATTCCTATGGGTTTTTCCATGTATATTAGCATTGCGCTAACTACTCGCTGCCAAATTGCAGCCTTTGCGATTAGAAAATCTCCTTTTGTCACATCGCAATTTAATTGCACATGCAGTTAATCGTTCAGCCCTAATATACATGCAGCTCTATACTAAAAGTGCATTTTCAAAGAGGTAATGATGGATTTCTTTGCAAAAGTTGTCCATCTTTCCAACAGAAAGATTTGCCTGGACCAACGTAACGTGATAACAACGTAACTTCCGTAAGGTTCATGTTCAGCCAATCAACTACTTTGACGTCATCGGCAGTCGAAGGACCCCGAGCCGATCCTGTACAGACACCGTCGCTCTCTGAAATCAGTTTTTAGATTATGAAACTGAAAACGAGATAAAGGAGGCGTCGAGCAGCCAAAATCAAGCCAAAATGAGAAAACATTTCCATTTCAGACGTTTCAGTTTCCAAACACTCAAGAGTGAGGTGACACAAAACCGAGATAAACAAGCTTCTGTTGCCATATTTGTTCTGTTTTACTGGCATCAAATTCAAACAAAGGTCACATCGTTCCCAAAACGTTTGACGTTTATTGAGTAGGAATCATTTTCAGATCATTAAAATCAGCTTTAATTTGCTCAGAAAAATCATTTTTTTAGCAACACAACTAAATGCTGCATGATATTTTCCCCTTAAAAAAAAAATCTTTTTAATTTCCCTCAGGCTCCCGCGCCGCCTCCTAAGCGCGCACCAGATGCTGTGGTGATTGAATCGACCACGAGAGACCAAGTGAGTGCTTCTGTGTGGGTTTTTGCTGCAGAATAAATCAGCTGAAGTGACGAGATGAGGGTGAATTTAGATCTTTTTTTTTTTTACTGTCTGAAGTAAATGTAAAGTTTGAGACCAAATGTAAGAACGGGAACAGGAATAAGTAGAGTGCTGATTGTGTGATGTTGCAGAAAGGGAAAAGGGGAATAAGAGGCTAAAATTCCCGGAGCGGTTTTAAACGGCCGCGACCGTTTTACTTCAAAGACGTTCTTATTTTAGGTGTCTCTCTGATCGTTTAATTTTATCTCACATCTGAGAAGGAGAAGTTCAGCGCTTTATGAATTAGATATAAATCTAAACAATGTCTGCCCCCCCCCCTGCGGTTACAGGCTGCCTTGTACCGTCTGAGCGGAGACTGGAATCCTCTTCATATTGACCCCAGTTTCGCCGCCATGGCAGGTGAGAGGCTGTCTTTGCTAATGCGCTGTCATTAATCTAAGGCAGGACTCGAACTTCCTTTGGGAGTTTTGGTCAAATGCATCGTTTTTCCGTCTCATTTGTAGCTGAACCTGCTGTACTTACGAATGCTCTTTGGTCAGGCTTCAAGACTCCCATCCTGCACGGCCTGTGCTCGTTCGGCTTCGCTGCGAGACACGTTCTCAAGCAGTTTGCTGACAACGACCCATCCAGGTTCAAGGCCATAAAGGTGAGCTGGGATGTAAAAAAAAATCACATCAGATGGTCCGGATTTGAGAGTGGAAGCTTTTTAGCTCGTGATGCACCGATTCTGGTTTTGAGGGCTGATGCCAGTTTCAGATTTTTATACAGGTCTGACCTGCTGAAACAGATTTTAGCCAATTTCCGATTCATCTCATTGAAGAAAGTTTTCATAAAACGAATAAATTCTCTTTTTTGCCATAATGAGTTCACTAATATGGAAGGAAAAATCTGACTTTTGAATATCAAATGAAAGGTCGAGCCAACGCTCTTAGGATAAGCTGTCAAGCAAGCTGCTTTAAAAATAAAATTCAAAGGTCCAACCTTAGAGCCAAACAACCATGAAAACAGTTATTTTATATTTTTGACCCATTGTTGCCCCCCCCCCCCCCCCCCCCACATAATTTACAGGATAATGCATCTAAGTAACCTTATAACAGTTTAGCATCTAGCTAATACAGTGTGGCGTTTTTAATGGTGAACACAGAGCAGTTTTTAGCGTTCTTGGTTTAAAATCACAGCAGCTCAGTGCCACCAACAATCTGGGAAAACACCATGAACAACGGGTCAAAACAAGACGTACACGTGAAGAGCAAACAGCTCCAAATAAAACAGTTGTGTTGGAGAGGATGTGGCAGCTTTGATGCTCACCACACCCATATTTCCTGGGCTTGTCCCAATATTCAATCATTTTGGACTCATGTTGAAACCATAATACAAAAGATCCTGGGATACCACGTGCCAAGAGACGCTACGGTACTGTTTTTGGGAAACATAACTAAAAGGGTACGGAGTGGGGACCATTACCTTGTAAATATTTTATTAACAGCAGCAAGGAAGACCATAACAAGACTTTGGCTCAAGTAGCGATGGGTACCGAATTCGGTACTTTTTAAGGTACTGACCGAATTCCATAGTACCGACTGAGCACCGATTCACGTAATTTGAAACGGTGCCTCGTTTCGGTACCCGTCCTTCATAATGAGAACTTGCCTAGACAGCTGCGCATGCGCAAGAGCGTTATGTCGTCGGTCGCTGCGAGCGAGTTGTAAACAGAGCAGCATGGTAGAAAGAACGCACGCTAAAGCTTGGGTCCACTTCACTAAATGTGATGGGTAACTGGGTGATGATGAAACCAGCGACAACGATCTAAGTGAGACATCCTCATCTAAACTCATTCACTGCCAATGACGGTTAAAGTCTTCATTTGCATATTTTACTGTTGGAGCATCGGAACGAGCCCCCGCGCCGAGAGAACAAACATCTCAGCTCTGAAGCCGATCTTCTTCTGCATAAGTCACACGTCACGTGATCAGGAGGCAGAAAATCCATGTGTTAGGAGATCGTTTTGGGCCGTTCCTGTAAAAAAAAGTGAGGCGCGAACCAGAAAAGCGTCTGCCGATCACAATTCGACAACGGATTATGAAAGAACGGATAACGCTCGAAACGCGGATTCTTCCTGATGTAAGAGGTGAGTCTCCTCTTTGTTTTGGTTGTTTTGGTGTTGATATCATCCTAGCGCTCAACGTTCTGTGACTCTTAAAAAAAAACAGTAAAAACGGTGAAAAATGCTGGCAGCGAATGCCTTTAGCAATCAGGAAACGGCTGGCAGTGAATGAGTTAATCTGCTCCAGTAGGTAAATAAAATGTTTAAGAAAACGTTAGCTTGATTTGTTAGCTTCCGTTCCGCTAATGGTGCGCTCTCTTTCACCTCGGAACTCCGAATTTCCGACTGGAAGAACATGAACGCGCTTTAAAGTTTGGCTTCACTTTACTAAATGCGACGGGTGATTGGGTGAAGATGAAACCAGCGACAACGATCTAAGTGTCAGGCATCGTCGTTTTAATCTGCTCCAGCAGCTAAATAAACTGTTTAAGATAACGTTAGCTTGATATGTTAGCTTCCATTGCCACCATTGTTATCAGCTAATGGTGCGTTCGCTTTCTCCTCGGAAATTCTAACTTCCCAGTAGGAAAAATCAGATGAAAAAGGACGGCAAAAGGAATGAAGATACACAGTAAATTTAGTTCACAGTAAAGATGTTTGCTTCAGTTTAATTATCAGCTTATAAAACTACAAGGACGATGTTAAAATACAAACAGTTGTATGTTATTTATCGTTATATTTATCAAATATGGTTATATATTGAGAAAAATATATATTTAATTATAAAGGAGAATTAAAATATTAAACACTCAAAAGTATTTAAAATTGGTACCGTTAAGTACCGGTATCGATTCCTAGGTACCGGCAATTAGTACCGAATCGATTCAAATGTCAAAGGTACCCATCCCTAGCACCGGACCAACTCTAATGGATGACAACTGTACGAGCCATATCGCAAGGTTAAGAGAATCCGAGTAGAATAATAAATGGAAAAAGTGGATTTGTTTCATGGGTACAGATAAGTTACAAGTGTATAGACTACTTTGGTATGTGTACTTATGACTGATACATGTATTAGTGGCAACGAGAATAAGCTCTTTAATCTCCTCTGACCAGGTTTTCTTTAGTTCTGTTGTTTTTTTTTTTGTTGAAAAACTGCAATGAAAATAAGCTATAAAGAAAAAGTGGACGTACACAACGATTGGATGAAGTTTGTACAGGACTGTACGTTTCAGAGGCAATTAAAATGATAAACTTAAGAAAAAAACACTAGTTTTGTTGGTTGCCATTAGGATGTGAAGAACATTTCAAGCAACTTGGCAAAAGATGCTCCAGACAAACATCACCAACTTCACCTTTTAACCCAGTCATGCTGAACACCCCCGATTTCCATCACCAGCTAATTTTTTTTTGATCCGTGTTTACTGACATGGAGTGGAACAGTCGCGCCAATGAGGACGTTTATTTTAATAAACATGCATCTACAGTAGGGATGTCCGATATTGGGGGCCGATATCAGCATTAAAACGTAACATTAGAAATGATCAGTAATGTTTTTCACTAAGGCTGCTCTATTGGCTTTTTTTTTTTTTTTACTGATATCTGATTTACCCATATTGTCTGACTCTTTAATTTTCGATACCGATATTAACCCATATCAATTTATGCAGGGTCCCCCTCTCGTAAAAAAAGAAAAACTAAAACATTTTAGGTTACTAACATAACTAGTTTCACAAATTGTGCCAAACAAACTAAAATGCCTCACGACACTGATCTCAGATCTGTCATGTTATGATATTTTGAGATTGAGGAAAAGTAGCTGAAGAGTTTGATGCTTAATTGTGTTTGGTACGTATACGTTGCGTCATTAAAAGTTTCTGTTATTAAATTTTAATGCCAATATTGGCCGATATAAGGGTAGAACAATAATATCGAACATGCTTAGTTTTAAAGGGACATTATGTAAGTTTTACAGCCAAAACATGTATAGAAATAATAAATGTCTTCTTCATACATTCTCCTGCAATGCCCTGGTCCTGTAGAATGAGCCCTGGCATTTTTACTGTGATTGCCTGTTTTTCTGTAAAATCACAGAAAAAGAGAGATGCTCGGGTCGAGCAGGCTGCTTCATGCGCGTTCACGCTCAGGCATCGCCCGTAGCATTTGCTATCCGTAGCTTTAGCAGCAGAGAGAGAGGCAGTGCCACTTTGTCGCTGTTCCTAACGCCTAGTGACAAAGCTAGCTACATTTCTGAGGACCCTTAGCTACTTTCTGTAGAACTTTCTTCTAGAAATTTCCTGCAAATTAGCAACAAAATAGCCATTTTCGCTTCGAACCGTTCTTTGGTTTGACGTTGTTTCAGCTGTCATCAAGGATATAAATGTTACAGATACTGTGAATGTTACTAGAGTGTAGCTCACCTTGTAAGATGTCTGACTCCCATGTTGAACACCTGGTTTCAATTCTGGATATGAACATAGTTTATTTAGAGTTTCTTTTTTACATTAATGGTATATTTTTTTTACAGTAAGATGCCCAAATTTTTATTTGAGACTCGCCAAACGGCATTGAATTCACAGATAAAAAAGATGTGGGTTCAACTTGCGACGGTGGCACAGGAGTTAAGTGCTCGCCCTGTAATTGGAAGGTTGCAGGTTTGAGTCCCACTCAGTCTGTCGCTGTCGTTGTGTCCTTGGGCAAGGCACTTAACCCATGTTGCCTGCTGGTTGTGGTCAGAGGGACCGGTGGCGCCAGTGCTCGGCAGCCTCGCCTCTGTCAGTGCGCCCCAGGGCAGCTGTGGCTACATTGTAGCTCATCCCCACTAGTATGTGAATGTGTGTGAATGTGTGAATGACTGATTGTGTTGTAAAGCGCCTTGAAGGGTTCCAGGACTCTAGAAGGCGCTATATCAAATAGAGGCCATTTACCAGTTACCATTCATTTTTGAACACTTATTCAAGCAAGGGAAGGGAATGATCTGAGCATGCAGGAGGACTGACCCATCATAAACCTTTGTCGGCTGTGCTGAAGAGAAAGCTACAGAACCAAATTATTTAATTAATTAGCTGCGTGCTCTCCTGTCCTCTGTCCTCCGACACACACACACACACACACACACGGGACTGTCAGCTGTTATTTTCGTTAAGGAGTGTGCTTGTACAGCATGCGCGCCTCGTGCACAAGCCTACTATTGAAGCTGCCGTTACGCTTTTGGCCTGAGGGGGCAATCGCGAGCATAAAAATTCAAAAGTCCGAAAAGTCCCTCTATTTCAATGACTCAAATTTTCCATCTCATGCTCATAAACATCAGACTCTTCAGCTACTTCTTCCCTCAGTCAAAATGTCAAAATATGACAGATCTGAGGTTCAGTTTTTGACATATTGTTTTGTTTTTTTGGCACAACTGGCCTAACTTGACCAACTAAGTTGCCAAATGATGATCTAGTGTGAGCGTCCGTCCTGAGACTGGGAGATCGTGGGTTCAAATCCACGGTCGGGTCATACCAAAGACTTTAAGGGGGGGGGGGGGGGGGGGGGGGGCAATGCCTCCCTGCTTGACACTCGTCATTAAAGGGTTGGATTGGAGGATTAAACCACCACATAGTTCCCAAGTGCAGCCACTGCTGCAGCTCACCGTTTCCCCAGGGGATGGGTCAAATGTGGAGAAGAAATTTCACACCAACTAATGGGACTTTAACCTAAATTTAAGTAGTTTTATATTTAGTTTTTCTTTCTTTTGTGAGAGGGGGACCCACAGAAATTGGAGAGTTGGACCACGTCGGTATATCAGTAAAAAAAAAAAAAAACAATATCGTGAATTTACACACATGTTGGGAATAATCAAGAAACCTAAAATCAAGCTTAGTAATTACTATAATCTGATGACTCCGCCCCCAACAAACTGCTTTTTGTTCCTTCAGGTTCGATTTGCAAAGCCAGTGATTCCAGGACAGTCGCTGCAGACCGAGATGTGGAAGGAGGGCAACAGAATCCACATCCAGTGCAAAGTGAGTCCAGTGAGGATTTCAACCATCACACAGTTTATTAGCCTGGCCTGCCAGACTCCTCCTCTGTTTAATTCTGCACAGAGAAAGAGTCTAGGAACCCTCCTATTCAAATAACCCCACCCCGTGAGAATTCTGACCGAGCCAATCAGCGCTGAGTATCGTACGTCACACACCACAACGCCGAGTTTGTCATAAACATGGCGACTGAAGCGGAGTTTGCTGCGGCTCTTCCCTCTGTTCTAAATGACTTGAACACGTCTTTAAAACCACAACAAGTAGAAGCGCTAAAAGCATTTCTTCTAAACAAAGATGTTTGCGCTGCCGCCAGCAGTGTTGTTAGTAACGCGGTACAAAAGTAATTAATTACTGTAATGCATTGCTTTTTGCTGTAATGTGGTAATGTAAGGCATTACAGGGAAAGAAAATGGTAATATTTACTCGGTACAGTTGTCAGTAACGCGGTAATTACAACGCATTTTTAAACCCAGAATCAAGATGTGGGTTTCCTAAAAATTCAAATTGCGAGAAGCCTGAAAAAAGATCCAGTATCCACATATATGACGTAATTTATGGACTCAGCTTTGCGGGCATTCTACGAGCAGAGAGGACGCAGCGGTGATGGCTCAAACACTCCAGCTGCGTCCTGCGCGCGGCCGCTGTTATATTCACAAAATCGCTCCACCAAAACCAAGTCATTCGTTTGCAATCGTTTATATCAGCCCATATTCTCTGGTACTTCATGTACTTTTCAGCTGAGTTCATAATCTGTGCCCCGGTGATTTCAGCTCATTGCTGCTGGAGCGCAGCGCATATTAAGCTTTTTTATTTATTTATTTATTGTGTTCGGTAGATCCCTTTGGCTGATTAGTTAGAAAGTAGGAAATCTAGGAAACAGATTTTCTGGAAGACGGAGAAAACATGCAGCATGCAGGAAGGTTAGAGCGAGAAAGGGTCGGAAATTATTCACATAAAATCAAGAAAACAAAACAAAGTGTTTGAAAAGAAAAAAAAGTAGGTAGATTTATCCCCAATACACATTTTTACCAGTGAAAAGCAATAATATATAAGCATTTAATATTTATACATGTGATAAAATCAGATCACCCCAGAAGCCAGTCCCACATCCAGGGCCGTATCAAGGCATTTGGGGACCAAGGCAAATATAGGCTTGGAGCCCCCACCACCTCACTCCCTGCTCAGTTAATCTAAGATGGCAGCGTGCTGAGAGTACAGATTGTTGTTGCTTTTATTTAATAAACAATCATTTAAAGCACCGTTATTATATCTGACTGTTTTTAACAGCAACCCTAGCTCAGACACCACATCACCTTCCACATATATGTCATGAGCTCACTGAGCGTCACATGACCAGATTCATACTGAAGTTGTTTTGGTGAAAGTAACTTAAAGTAATGCAAAAGTAGTGTAATGCCTTACATTTTAAAATCAGTAATATTGTAATGTAATGAATTACTTTAAAATGAGGGTAACAAGTAATAAATAATGCATTACAGTTTTGAAGTAACTTGCCCAACACTGGTCGCCAGACTCCATTTTTACTACAGCTAAAAAAGCTACAGCGTCGCGTACGTCACACACACATCGACGCTCAGTTTCTCATAAACAACGACGACAGCGACGGCGGAGTTCGCTGCGGCTCTTTCCTCTGTTCTAAATTACTCAAATGTCTTTAAAACCACAAGAAGAAACGCTAAAAGCATTTCTTCTAAAAAAAAAAAATGATGTTTGCGTCGTCCCCCCAAAATACGACTTAAATATATTTTCTCTTCTTCATTATACATTTAATGGCTGGTGCGACTCAGGAGCGATAGCCCGGAAGATACGGTACTGAAAACTTGCTCACAGCAAAATGTTTTCATTACGGAAATAAATTATAAACTTACCGATTCAATACTTTTTTAATCCAGGTACTTGTCACTAACAGGCGCCGAAAACCTCCACCTAAACTCCGTGTAAGGTTCAGGTCGATGGGTGTTCCAGTTAGCTCCGGTTGGGTTGAAGCTAGGTGGCTACATCCGTTAGCTCGGCTCCCACCTCCGCGTTAGCTTTGGGTTAGCCAGGGTTAGCTTCAGGTTAGCTCGTAGCTAGTTCGCACGGGTGTCGTCACTCGAGCCCAGCCTTACAGCCCCACCCTCAGCTCCTCCTCTCTTCCCTTTTATGGAATTGTCTGGGCTGGACGGAACCTGTGACACGGTCAAAATGGCGGTGGTGGCCACCTCCCATTATAGACAACAAACGTGTTATTGGAGTCTATCGAATCCGTTTGTCCAGTATGTACAGTCTATGCCAGACGCTGCGGTACAGTCGGGATTTCCTTCTTTTTTCTGATTGGTCACTTTTGAGCTTCCTAGTCCCGCCCCTCCAGTGCCTCTCTGCCTGTGAGTTACCGGACTCATTCTCTGTGCAGAGTTAAACAGAGGACGAGTCTGGCAGTTTTTGTGACTCGCATCTGGTCTCTCTCTCAGGTGAAGGAGACGGGGGATGTCGTGCTGACTGGAGCCTACGTGGATTTACACGGATCGACTAAAGCTTCTCCAGAAAGTCTCCCTCAGGTGCTCCAGTCTGGAACGAATACTTTTTATTGTCAGTCATGTTTCTTTGTTCTCTCTTCATGGTGGCCCGAATCCTTTTGCTTCTGTTCGTTTTTTCACAAAGTAAAAATAAAGCCTTCTCCCAGTTTTCTGTTCTCAACACCAAGTTAGCAGCATGAAGAACCTTCACACCTTATTGTGACACTGAGAGGTAACTGAAGCATCACGCTGAGAGAAATCAGACCGGCGGTGCCACAGGCTCCAGGCCCGAACCCCTCTAACAAGCTCCCGTGGAGTTAGCGCTGACAACTTGTTGAAAGCTACCACTTGTATGTGCGTTATGTGCACGAACGTCCCGGCGGCGCAGCGCGGGAACCTTGTTCTGTCACCAGTGCACCTGCTGTTTGTTGAAGCTAATGATTAAACATCAGCAGAGTTTGCAGAAGTGATTTTAAGGAAACAGCCAGAGAAATAAATGAAAATTGGGAATTTCATTGTTATTTGCGGTTAGCATAATGAGAAGCTGGGATGCAGAACAGCCTCCCTTTTCTGTCGACGTACGCCTGACGAGCCGTCTTCCCGTTCCCTCTCCATCCTCGCAGGAAGGAGGCCTCAGCAGCGATCTGGTGTTTGCAGAGATCGGGCGTCGTATCAAAGATGTCGGCTCGGAGTTGGTGAAAAAAGTGAACGCCGTCTTCGGCTGGGAGATCACGAAGAACGGCAAGACGGCCGCGCAGTGGAGTGAGTTCGACACACAGTCAGCAGAGTCAACTCGGTTTCTGTCGCTGTTTAACGAAAAGGGGATTTTATCTTTGCAGCAGCAGCATCGAGTCAAAACCGACAACAACTCGAACTGTTGGAAATAATTTAAAGTCGCGCTTGTTGCTTGTAACGTTCTGGTTGTTAGTCTCTAAATGTAGCTTTAGTCTGCTAACCGCCAAGTTAGACGGAAGGTTTAATTTTCCTCCTTAAGATGAAGAATGAAGGAACTTTATTGTTGAAAGTAAAACCTTCAGGCCAACATTATATTTAATAAGATCTCTGTGTTCACCAGAACAGAAACATGAGAGCGACTTTCTCTGGTTTATTCAGTCCAGAGGATTAAAGCATCGGGGAAAGAAGTCAAGGGTGTAATCTGGGCTTTTATTAGACCTATAGGGCGCCTGCTTTAATTTATCTGCTTTATTATTATAATTATTATTATTTTTTGTTGTTCTAATATTTTAGGAGGAAAACTTAACTTAGTACATTAGATATATACAAGATATACAGTGATCCCTCGCTACTTCGCGGTTCGTTTATCGCGGATTCACGACTTCACGGATTTTTTCTTTGGAGCCTTATTCAAGGGAAATTCGCCGATTCGCGGTATTTTTCACCGATTCGCGTTTTTTTTCTGTGCGAAATATCAAGAAATTCCAGTTTTTTTTCATCAATTTCATCATAAAATGCACTTTTTGTAATAAATCTATAAAAACCCAAGTAAAAAAAGATTTTTTCTTGAGTTTTACCCACAAAAAGAGAATGTGATCATACGATAATTCAATATAGTACTGTACTGTAAATATGGTGTCCCTACTTCGTGGATTTTCACCTATCGCGGCCAGGTCTGGAACGCATCTACCGTGATAAACGAGGGATCACTGTACAAGCGAGTGTACACCATACCATACCATACCAACTTTATTTATAAAGCACATTTAAAAACGGCATGGCAGCTGACCAAAGTGCTGTACAGAATAAAAAGTAAAAACACAATATAAAACAATACACGGTCAACAATAAAATACACAACAAAGCAGATAATCACGGTAAATAAAAGACACATAATAAAATAATAAAAGTCAGGGATTTAAACACACCTGGTCGTAAAAGTCAGCCTTAAGTAGCGACTTGAACCGGAGGAGGGATGGTGCCAGCCTCACCGAAAGAGCATTCCAGAGTGTCGGGGCAGCGTAGACAAAAGCACGCTGCCCCCGCGTTTTGTATTTCATTGTTGGAACGCGAAGCAGCAGGCAATCAGCAGACCTCAACGCCCAGTTTGGCGCATTACGAGTCACAAGATCAGACAGGTAATCCAGAGCCAGACCGTTTAGGGCCTTAAAAACAAAAGTCAGGATTTTTAACTTGACTCTGAAGTTTACGGGTAGCCAGTGGAGCCGCGCCAGTACAGGTGCGATATGGTCTCTTCTACGGGTGTTTGTTAAAAACCTGGCTGCCACGTTGTGTACGACCTGAAGCCTGTTAAGAGCGGAGGCAGGTTAACCAATTAAAATGGAATTAGCATAATCCAGTCGGGAGATGATAAAAGCATGAATTACGGATTCCACAGGTGCTCACATGGTGCTCTCATAAGTATGGACTTGGGCACGTTCAACACATGTCTGAAGGCTGTGGTTTGCACTAAATGCACTGTGATTTATTATCGTGTGATTGTTCATTTGAACAATGTTGATTATATATTTCTTCATCAAGTTGACGCAGTGATAGCTTGATTCAATTCAATTCAATTTTATTTATAAAGCGCCAAATCACGACAAGAGTCGTCTCAAGGCACTTCACATAATAAACATTCCAATTCAGGTCAGTTCATTAAGCCAATCAGAAATAATGTTTCCTATATAAGGAATGATCTTGTTGTGTGTCCCTTTTCTGCAGGTCTTATTCATCATTGATTATTTTTGTGGCTTCACTTTTGGCAGGTGGAGTTTCCCCTTTGGTGCTCTATAGAGCCTCACGTTTCTGATTGTAAATTCCTTTAAATCCTAAATGTTGAACAAATTAGTAGATCACAGCTGTTATGACCTCTAAATAATACTGCATATTCTGAGAAAATGGCCAAATCCTTGTATAATACAGCAGATAAATAAAACGGTGACATAAAACAGATCAGTTTGACGTCCCGTGAAACTGAGATACACTCCTGGGTTAAAGCAAACCTGATTAGATGTTCTTGCTGCATAAGAAAATCATATTGTGACTCAGATTTTTCGTTGTAGTTTGTATGTTACTAGAAAACATGACTCAGCATTCCTCTCAGAGGGGTAAGCTGCTAATTTCTAAGCCAATTAAGTGCTTTTGCAGAATTTTACAGTCTAGCAGAGCAGTTGGTTAGGTCTCAGGTTGCGGTGCGGGCCTTTTGGCTTTAATTTGGCGCTCTGGATTTGTATTTTTTAATTATAACTGTTCATTAATGGATTCTCAGTTTCCTCTGCACTATTTTAAAATTTCACACACGCCTCTCCTTCTGCAGCTCAAGAAACAGAAGTCGAATTTGAGCTCTAAAGTTGAGCTAATTTCACCAATAAAAAAAAAAGTTTAATAAGAACTAAAACACGAGGGATTTGGGGAGTCCAGGAGTCCTTGTACGCGTTTGTGATCAATTCATTCTGAGTCTTCTTCTCCTTTTGTCTCCCGCTGTTTCCCTGCAGCCATTGATCTGAAGAATGGCAGCGGCTCGCTGATCAAAGGGCCGCACGGCGGGAAGGTGGATGTGACCTTCGCTGTGTCGGACGAAGACTTCATGGAGGTGGTGACGGGCAAACTTCAGCCTCAGAAGGTGACGCTGCCTTTGAAGTTGTCGCAGAACAACAAAAAGTGTCCTCGCGTTTCAAATCACTTCCTGTATGTTTTGATTATAGCGAGCCGTCCTTCAATCCGTCATGACGAGACGACCCCCCCGATCTTCTTCGTGTCAGATTAAAATATGGAAGCAATGATCTCTCAGAAAGCAGTCGGTGCAGATAATCAATCGGTGCTGCTTGTTATGTCTGCTGCATCCCGTCCGTCAGTGGGAGTGGCCATCACCGAGTAGAATTTATATGCTTCCAGGAGTGCCTGTTATTGATCTGAGCTGTGTGTGTGTGTGTGTGTGTGCGTGTGTGTTCTTTACAAAGAGAGTCAGGAGGCTGTGGTGCTGAACATCCCTCAGGCGGATCTTTCCCAGCCTCTAGGATGATGAAAGCAGCAGCTGGGGGAAGATTAGTTGATGGAGTTGAAAGGGAAGCTGCTAACCGTCGTCCCGGGTCATCACGACCCCGTCGTGATTAAATTTAGTCGAGGAAAGCAGAGAACACCATCAGAGGTTTAGCTAACTCAGGAAAGGGACTTTACCGCTACGGATTTTCCCGGTTTTTGTTCTTGGTGTTCTGACCCCATTTTCAGAAAGGAAAAACGACTCATGTCTTTATTTTTTCCTAATTAGGCCTTCTTTGCTGGAAAGCTGAAGGTTAAAGGGAACATTATGCTGAGTCAGAAGTTGGAGGTCATCCTGAAGGATTACGCCAAGCTGTGAGCGCTCACTGCCCAAACCGACCAATCAGATGCCTCCAGGAACTAACCACCACAGACGGCTCCGTCCCCGCCTCTCGTTTCTGATCCATGTGTGCTTCGCCTCTCATGGGAATTTCATAAAAAGTCACCCACCCACCGACCAGAGCAACACTTCAAGGCTGAGCGCCCCCTCTGATATTCAGCGTGGTCAGAAGAATCAAATATGGACTCAAGTTTCAGGAGAAGCTTTTCAATGGAGCTGAATAATTTACTAAAAGCATTTTTTCTGTGTGTCGACTTACAGAAGTGATTTGTGATCTCAGCATTAATGAAAATAGGCGTTTTTGTCCTAAAGCAACTGATTTACTACAGTCGGAACGTTTTCCGTAACTGTAGCGTTAGTCGCTGCAGACTAGCTTCGTTAACTCGTCTGTAATGACTAGTTCTAGAATAAAAGCTGCTGTTTAATACTTAAACTCTGAGGTTTGTGTTCTCAATCCTTTTTATGGTCATTTCATTTGGAGTCTTAATTTTATCCGTGATCTGAACATCAACATGGATTAAATAAACTGTTGATGGTAAATTTGTGCAAATAAACTTTCGCTTTTTGGTTTTCAATGCAACAAAAACAGTGCCGTGTCCAGGCCTTTTATTATGGGGTGGCCCACACGGGGCACCAATGGTTCTGCTTTTTAAAAATTTCTTTTATGCCTTTGTAGTGAATTTGTGAGTCACATCGTGTCATGACCACCTTCAAGCTGTTTTGAGGTAGTTAGCAAGGCACTTCCTTTTTGCATTACTGCCACCAACTGGCGTGGAGTGGGACTAAATTTGTTATGAAAAAATAATGCAGAAATGTTCTGTAGGCCTGGGACTACAAACCAACCTTGAAGGTGCTTGGTGCCACCCATGGAACTCAGTGGGGTGGCCAATCAGATTCCATGGGTGGCATGTGCTACCCCCAGGCCACTCCCTGAACCAAAAGTAACTGAGAAAATTAACTCATTCACTGCCAATGACGACTAAAGTCGTCATTTGCGTTTTTTTTTACTGTTTGAGCATCAGAACGAGCCCCTGTGCTGAGAGAACAAACATCTCATCCCTGAAGCCGGTCTTCATCCGCATACGTCATACGTCACATGATCAGGAAGCAGACCATCCATGTATTAGATCGTTTTGGGCAGTTCCTGTAAAAAAAGTGAGGCGCGAACCGGAAAAGCGTCTGCCGATCACAATTCAACAACGGATTATGAAAGAACGGATAACGCTCGAAACACGGATTCTTCCTGATGTAAGAGGTTACTCTCCGCTTTGTTTTGGTTTTTTTTTGCGTCGACATCATCCTAGTGTGCAACATTCTGTGACTCTAAAAAAACAGTAAAAACGTTGAGAAACGCTGGCAGCGAGTGAGTTAAATGTGTGCTAGATTTATAAAAAATTACATTATTCCCCCCCCCCCCCCCCCCCACAAAATTTGGACAAGTAAAAGCTGCTGCTACCTAGCTGTCTGAGTTTGAATTACACCACAAAAGAAATGCAGTACTTTTTTTTCATGCAAGTATTCAATAAAAATCGATACGGTTTTTATCGGTTCAGCATTATAACCTGATATTTCAGTGTATAAGTATTTTCTTGCATTCCTATAATTTATGCTAGAAAATAAATCTTACGGCCGAAACCCGACTCGTGCGTAAAAAAGCTTTACGTGATGAAAGAAAGAAGACGCTTTTGGTTAAAAAAATCATTTATTCTCCAGATTCTGTAGGAATACATATTGTTGGTCTTAGAATAGAACAGATTTTTACTCTCCAGTTGCTGCAGAAGTACACAGAATTTTTCCTGCTCACCCGATTTGCAGACAAAACAAAAAAATGATGAATTAAATCTGCCTATACTCCAAAACATGAAGATATTTCATAAATATACTCATCTGTACAGAATAATATTCTTCATTAAGTAGCTTTTATCATTATCCACCGTTTATCTACAACTAGCTGTGGTTAAAAGAAGCTTAGTTTGTGGAAATAGAAATGTTGAAACTATTAAACCTGCTTCATCTGAAGGATTTCTCGTGTGCAACGGTCCCGCCTGCAGCAGCGCGACAAGCTTCTACGGGTAGTGAGCTTAATTATTTAATCCACCATCGGACCGGTTCCTGCAACATATCACACATCAGCCTAGATTATATTCAAGTGTGTGCTGGAGGCCATGTGCTGCACTTAGATGATGGAGAGAGAAAAAAAAAAAGTGACAAATGATTTACAAAGAAACCACAATAAACAAGCGTGTCATTAATGGTCCAAACAGACAATTTTGGAGTCAACGTAAGGGAAACTGCATTATTGCATAAATACTGATATCGGTGAGCGGCTCGTTCACCCGGAGCTGAATCTTACTACTAATGGCTCTGCTGGGATGGGAGGAGCAGAGATTAAGGACACTTAAAGACAACAGATTCAGGTTGGGGTAAATGGTTCATCACTATAACAGAGGACCATCCTGCCTTCTGTAGTTGGGCAGATTAGACGGTGTATGATTTAGCTTTATATGAAAACACAGAAAGAGCGGGAGCTCAGCGATAATCGCATCGCAGAGCTTCGACGCCTCGGTCTAAATAAATCACATCCTTCTAGATGTGCGAACGCAGCGCGGCCCAGACTCCCAGCCGGCGTGGTTACAACTCACAAATGACTCGCGAGCTTGAGCTTGTTTGAAAGTGAAAATTTACAACCCTGCTGCTTACCGCCTGGCAACAGCGGAGCCGAAAACCCGGTTCGTCTTTGAATTTAATTAAACGTGATGCAGGCTGCTGGACACGACCGGACATGACTGCTGGACTCGTATCCAGATACATTAAACATCTCAATCAGAAGGCGGTTAAAAACAACTCCTAATATAACAAACAGCTGAGTTCGATATAAGATATGTTTATTTTCTATTCTACACACCTGAATGAGTTTTGGGCCCAGGTGAACCTTTTAGTTACCTGATCTCCTGTGTCACCTGGATCTGCGTTTGTGATGTGCTTAGAGACGCTCCAGCTGATATTACTGATGGTGATCCTGGAAAACAATTATCTTCTCTCCTTGTGCAAAAACAAAACAAAAAATAAAAAATAAACACAAAAAAGGCTCAATATCTGCTGCTCACTAGACATGAAGATGGCGGTTTGAAGCAAAAACACTCCGGCTTAATCGTCTGTCCGGCTGATTCTCGCTTTAGCTACACTTGTACAAAACTTCTGTGCTTGGGTTGCCTTTGAAGACAAATTTGGGTTCACATTTCATAAAAGTCACCGTTTGGCTGCGTGGTCTCGCGTCGCTGCTCGGGATCGGACGACAGAATCTCACCACGACGACGGTTTTACCATTAAAGGAGTTTCTGCGTCGCGTGACGACGAGAACTTTGCTCGGCGCTGGATCGCACGCTGCTTCCAACAGCCAAAGCAGACGCCTGTTTTCCTTCTATATGAAGAATTTGACATCGTTCTTGTGATGGTGGTTGTTGTTCACAGCGGCGAAGCGGTTGGGAAGAAGCCTCATCTTCATGGTTCCGTCGGCGCCGCAGGAGAAGATGTGGTTGACCGGCCCCACCTCGATCTGCATCACGCCCGTCCCGAGGTTCCTGAACAGGGACTGGCGGGCGTGCTCGTTTGGGAACGTGTAGAGGAGACACTGCGTGGCGATGCTCCACACCTGGGGGTTAAAATCAGAAAAGTTAGGCTTTAGTAGCAAATCCCAACAGATGCAGCAGGAACCAGTCAATCAATCAAAGATACTTTATTAATCCCAGAGGGAAATTAAGAGTTTCAGTACACACAATTCAGAGATCAGACATGGGAAAGACACATGAAAAGAATTGGTGACTGTGGTCATTCACAACCCTGAGTCGCGCTACCTTAATAGAGATAAGAGGGTAACATGAGGATTGGTTCAGGTGGAGGGAAAAAAGGCACTTCAGAGTTACCCTCCACAGGGAGGGCAGCTTTACTCTGCAAAAAAAACAAAACAAAACAAAAAACACCTCTGACAGATATGCAACAGACTTCAGACAACACAACATAAGTGTCCACTAGGTGGGGTGGTGGGTTGGGACTATCCCCACTTCAGTTCCTGCAGCCACGATAAGCAGCGCACGTCACCTCAGTGTGGATAGGGGGAGGAGCATTGAGGGTTGGAGGGTTGCAGTGACCCTGGAACGTTTCCGCGGCCTCCCCGCAGTCCCGCCCAGGCTGGGAAAGGAGACAGAGTTGAGTTGCCATAGCGACAGCACATTCCACATATCTTCTGAGGGGGGAGTATTCGTTGGAGCCTTGCAGGCTCAAGGACGCCAGATTCCGATTAGAAATTGTTTTGGGGCCAGACAGAGATAATTTCCTCTCTGTCTTACAGTTTGTTGGTCCTCAACCTCTCAAAATCCCAATAATGGACATTAATCTATCCCAATCCGTGCTGATTCATCCACTCTCTCCTTGATGGCCTCCATCTTTTGTGCCAAAGAATGGATCTCGGCCAAAGTCCCAAGCTTACGATTCATCTCTTTTTTTTTTTACCGTGTCCTGTCTGGCTGTGACGCAAACAGAATTGATGTCTGAATGCTGGTAACAAGCCTTACAGATTTACTCTCAGGTGGAGCATCAAAGCGTCTGCTTTTAATGTCACGCCTGATACTTAAATCTTTATTGTTGTTGTTTTTGAATGCTTTTTAATTCCGATCAGACACGGAGTCAGAGGTGAAAGAGAAAGGAAAAGACAAAAGGTGGAGAGAAGGGGGGAAGGGGGTGGGGTGGGGGGGTGGGGTTCCACAAAATAAACAATAATTAACAAGAGTCTGCTTCTAGACCTGCAGAAAGAGAAAGAATAGAAGAAAAAAAATGGGACACACAACAATATATCAGGAGCAAGCTATCACCGCGTCAACCTGATGGTGAAATATAAAATCAACATTGTTTAACTGAACAACCAAACGATAATAAATCACAGTGCATGTAGCGGCAACGACAGCCTTAACACAAGTGTTGAACGTGCCCACGTCCATACTTATGAGAGCACCATGTGAGCACCTGTGTGTGTACACGCGCTTGTTTATGTAAGGTTTCTCTATAGGAGCGTTCAATAGAGAGTGTGAGGGACCACAGACCCGCCCCCCAAAGATGTGCAGGAGACGGGGGGAGCTCCAAGTCCCAGAGATCCAGGCACTGCCCCAGAACACAGGAACCCCAAGGAGACTGCAACCAGAAAGGCCCCCGCCCCCCTCGAGAGGCACAGAGGGTCGCCCCGGGGGGCCACAACCAGCAGCCGGCAGAGCCCCTGGAGATCTCAGCGGCAAGCCCACAGGCCCGCCCACAGCCTCCCACCCCCTAGCCGGCCGAGCCCGGGACCCAGGGACGACCACCCCCGCCGGGGACCCAGCAGAGCCCAGGGACCCAGAACCAACCAGGCAGCCACCGGGATCTATCAGGCAGACTCCAAAAATCTTAAACCCAATGACCCGGGAGCCACGAACACCCAGGCAGACCAAGGCACTACACCCCACACCAGGTGTGGCGGGGGGGGGGGGGGGCAAAGATCTATATCATTAAAAGAAGTCCCAGGAGAAGGGAGGAGTCAAAGGCCCCACCTGACATACACAGTCATACACAAACACAGTCACACACTCCCTCCCTCATGCTCACACATGCACATACAACCAAAGACTCACAAAAATGCACGCCGGACACCCACTCATGCTCCCCATACACACCCTATTCACTCTGGTCCCGGTACTGCTGCACATTGGGTACAACCATCACCGGTTACCAGAGTTTGACCCTTTCTGCTGGGGTGCTGATGAGCAGGCTCCCCCGCCCAACGCTGAGCACAGAAACCCACCACCCCAGACCCCAACCGGACGGCCAGATCTCCCTCCCAGCCTCCAGCCCCAGGAAGCCAAGCAACAACAGAGGTGTGCTAAGGCCCCTAGTCTCCCTCCGCCTGCTCCAATATAGTGTTGTGTGTTGATGAGGTGCATTCCATGGCTGTGGTGAGCGGGCAGTGCGGGCATCATCCGGCCTATGCCAGCTGATGCCACCACACCACCCCACTTGCACCCACAGCCCTCGGTGTCTAAGTGCAGTTTAAAATTGGAAGTGGGCACCGGCACCCGGGAGGAGGCTGAGAAATCCCCCTGCCAAGTGCCGTTGAATGTGCTCACTCCCAAGGCCCTAAGTGTGTGTTTGCGTGGAATGTCTTCGGTGGACGTGTATAAGGTGCAAATAAAATTGGGGGGCAGGTTGCCACAGGAATGCGGAAATGGAGTCAGAACAGTGGGTGAGGAACATTCAAGCTGCAGAACCTTTCATGTCAAAAACACCAACATAACACATCGTTATATTTGTTATAATTTCATTTGTTATAAAATCTGAACTATAAATCACACAGGTGGAAATAGAAATAGTATTCTACCAAAGTTTTAGCAAAGTAATAGTACTTTAAGTTAAATTATCAGCATGAACCCAAGTAAAAGTATCTCATTAAAAGTTGGCTGCTTTTTATTAAAGGAACAAATTACTGAGCAATAAGAAAAAAAAGCGCTGCTGACGACGTTTTAGACAACTGGAGGTATAATTTATCCCTTAAGAGGCGACGTCCCGCGGTGCTCAACTCGTCAAACTGCAAAACATGTCAAACGAACCCGCAGCTGCTTCTATTTTTATTCTGAACTCCCAGATTTTATCCTTCCTTTGTGTTTACCATCAGAACTTTCTGGTGAACATGATCAGCAGCTGGTTTTTTAAAATCTTCATCAGCATCCGAGGAGCTGGTGTCTTGGGCGCGTGTCGTCTTTCCTGGGACTTTAGTCTGTCCATCACTCACTGAGGAAGCTCCAAGAAAACATTTCTTCTTCCGGCTCTTGGAGGGTGCAGACGCTTTTTTCCTCCTCTCCTCCATATCTTATCCTCAAGGCCTTTGTCTGTCTCTATGTGCTGGGTGCACGGCTGCTTCTGCATTTTTTCTGGAAACTGAAACTCACTAAAATGGATCTCATCAGTTGGTCACTCAATGCGATTGATAAAATTTTTTCAACGATGAGAACGGGAGAAGGGGCTCCCAGATGCCCCTCCGGGACAGACCCAGTTGGACACATCATGGACTCCTGGAAACAGTGGAACTTGATTTGTTTATCTCAGCTGTCTGTGGAGGACACTGAAGACGTGTGGATATTCGTGGTGTTGGTGTCAGGTTTCCTGCTCACTGGCCTTGGAGGCTACCAGGCTTACCGGAAAATTAACGAGCTGTCGAGGAATATTGGCCTGATCCCGGAGCTCAGAGATGGATTGCACCGCGCTGTGAATTCACAGACTCACATAATTGTCGAGATGAATCGTAAGCTTGGAACTTTGGCCGAGATTCATTCATTGGCACAAAAGATGGATGCCATCAAGGATAGAGTGAAAGAATCAGCACGGATTGGGATAGATTGATGTCCATTATTGGGATTTTGAGAGGTTGAGGACCAACAAACTTTAAGACAGAGAGGAAATTATCTCTGTCTGGCCCCAAAACAGTTTCTAATTGGAATCTGGTGCCCTTGAGCCTGCAAGGCTCCAACAAAAACTGCCCCCTCAGAAGATATGTGGAATGTGCCGTCGTTATGGCAACCCAACTCTGTCTCCTATCCCAGCCTGGGCGGGACTGCGGGAAGGCCGCCGAATCGTTCCAGGGTCACTGCAACCCTCCAACCCTCAATGCTCCGCCCCCTATCTACACTGAGGTGACATGCGCTGCTTATCGTGGCTGCAGGAGCTGAGGTAGGGATAGTCCCAACCCACCACCCCACCTAGTGGACACTTATGTTGTGTTGTCTGAAGTCTGTTGCATATCTGAGGTGTTTTTTTTTGCAGAGCAAATCTGCCCTCCTGGTGGAGGGTAACTCTGAAGTGCCCTTTTTTCCCTCCACCTGAACCAATCCTCATGTAACCCTCTTATCTCTATTAAGGTAGCGTGACTCAGGGTTGCGAATGACCACAGTCACCAATTCTTGTCATGTGCCTTGCCCATGTATGTCTGATCTCTGAATTGTGTGTACTGAAACTCTAATTTCCCTCTGGGATTATTAAAGTATCTTTGAATTGAATTGAATTATTTTCTTAGCCTTTGAAAAAAAGTCAGTTTAGAAAAGTAAAATTATATATTTTTTCATCTACTTTTATAATTTCCAAGAAGAAAAATGAAAGTGATCCTGGTTTAGTGTTTGACACATTCTTTATAATTCGTGGTCTTTATTAAAAAAACATTTTAAAACTTCTGAAAATGCAAAATCATCACGAAATTCTCAGATAGCCAAAATACAATTAATGAGCAGCATCAGACAAAGCTTTGATGGTTTCTTCTCTGTAATCCAGAGTGAAAGTCATTTGAATTTCAAGCAGACGAGCGCGGAGCCGTTGCCTCTACAGAAGCGTGAGACAACAGCTTCATGGCTGCAGCGACAGCTCTGTGATCAGCACCAACGCGCTCCAGTCAGAGAAGATTAAAGACCGGCTCGCTCTGAAAACAAATTAGCTGAAGACATCTTTAGTTCGCTCGTCCAAACCAACTCCCCTCCATTTGGATTTTTAGTGTTGCCCCCCGCACATTAGTCTCCATCAGTCACTGTTGTCCTGAGCAGGCGGTTAATCATCAGGTGACATTAATTTCTATTGACTGTGATGGGGCTCACTGCCCCCGTAGATAAACACCACCGTCCCCCTGATTGTCCATTTGGCGGACAGCCAGACACGTTTCCACCTGAGTGCCAGACGCCCTGCAGGACCGCTCATTATTTGTGCAGAAGAAGCTACTTTTCAGAATAACAGATCCCACTTAGAGAACAGTGTTGGGCAAGTTACTTCAAAACTGTAATGCATTATTTATTACTTGTTACCCTCATTTTAAAGTAATTCATTACATTACAATATTACTAATTTTAAAATGTAAGACATTACACTACTTTTGCATTACTTTAAGTTACTTTCACCAAAACGACTTCAATATGAATCTGGTCATGTGACGCTCAGTGAGCTCATGACATATATGTGGAAGGCGATGTGGTGATTGCTGTTAAAAACAGTCAGATATAATAACGGTGGTTTAAAATGATTGTTTATTAAATAAAAGCAACAACAATCTGTACTCTCAGCACGCTGCCATCTTATATTAACTGAGCAGGGAGTGAGGTGGTGGGGGCTCCAAGCCTATATTTGCCTTGGTCCCCAAATGCCTTGATACGGCCCTGGATGTGGGACTGACTTCTGGGGTGATCTGATTCTATCACACGTCGTCTTCTTCCTCCGCTTATCCGGGTCGCGGGGGCAGCATCCCAACTAGGGAGCTCCAGACCGTCCTCTCCCCGGCCACCTCCACCAGCTCCTCCGGCAGGACCCCAAGGCGTTCCCGGACCAGATTGGAGATGTAACCTCTCCAACGTGTCCTGGGTCGACCCGGGGGCCTCCTGCCGGCAGGACATGCCAGAAACACCTCCCAAGGGAGGCGTCCAGGAGGCATCCTGACCAGATGCCCAAACCACCTCAACTGGCTCCTTTCGATCCGGAGGAGCAGCGGTTCTACTCCGAGTCCCTCCCGAATGTCCGAGCTCCTCACCCTATCTCTAAGGCTGAGCCCGGCCACCCTACGGAGGAAACTCATTTCGGCCGCTTGTATCCGCGATCTCGTTCTTTCGGTCATTACCCAAAGCTCATGACCATAGGTGAGGATTGGGACGTAGATCGACCGGTAAATCGAGAGCCTGGCTTTCTGGCTCAGCTCCCTCTTCACCACGACAGATCGGCTCAGCGTCCGCATCACTGCAGACGCCGAACCAATCCGCCTGTCGATCTCCCGATCCCTCCTACCCTCACTCGTGAACAAGACCCTGAGATACTTAAACTCCTCCACTTGAGGTAGGACCTCTCCCCCGACCCGGAGTTGGCAAGCCACCCTTTTCCGGTCGAGAACCGTGGTCTCAGATTTGGAGGTGCTGATCCTCATCCCAGCCGCTTCACACTCGGCCGCGAACCTACCCAGCAAGAGCTGAAGGTCAGAGCTGGATGAAGCTAGGAGGACCACATCATCCTCAAAAAGCAGAGACGAGATTCTCCTGCCACCAAACTCGACACACTCCACACCACGGCTGCGCCTAGAAATTCTGTCCATGAAGGTAATGAACAGAACCGGTGACAAAGGGCAGCCCTGGCGAAGTCCAACCCTCACCGTGAACAGGTCCGACTTACTACCGGCTATGGGGACCACACTCACGCTCCTCTGGTAAAGGGACTGAATGGCCCTTAACAGAAAGCCACCCACCCCATACTCCTGGAGCGTCCACCACAGGGTGCCCCTGGGGACACAGTCATAAGCCTTCTCCAAATCCACCAAACATGTGGATTAGTTGGGCTCCTCGGATCATTAGGGCACTCAAACTCCTCCACCACGATAAGGTGAATGTTCAAGGAGGAGTCTATCACATGTATAAATATTAAATGCTTATATATTGTTGCTTTTCACTGGTAAAAATGTGTATTGGGGATAAATCTACCTATTTTTTTTCTTTTTTTCTTGATTTTATTTGAATAATTTCTTGCCCTTTCTCTCTCTAACGTTCCTGCAAGCTGAGTCCATAAATGACGTCATATATGTGGATACTGGATCTTTTGTCAGGCTTCCCGCAATTAGAATTTTTAGGAAACCCACATCTTGATTCTGGGTTTAAAAATGTATTGTAATTACCGCGTTACTGACAACTGTACCGAGTAAATATTACCATTTTCTTTCCCTGTAATGCCTTACATTACCACATTACAGCAAAAAGCAATGCATTACAGTAATTAATTACTTTTGTACCGTGTTTTCCCTCTGGGATTAATAAAGTATCTTTGATTTGATTTGTGTTACTCCCAACGCTGTTAGAGAATTACTAACTTTCTTAAAATAAAGAGATGGAACCGAAGCGTTCACCTTAATGTTGCCCTCGGCCGATCCGCTGATGAAGCAGTCCTCTGTCGGGTCAACCGCCAGTGCTTTGACTGGGGAGTCGTGGGCCTGGAAGCTCTGCCGCTGGTCCCGGTGGGAAAGCTCCAAGATGGTGATCCAGCCTTTCCTCCCGCCAGTGATGAGAAGCTGCTGCCTCGGGGCCACCGAGAGCACGGTGGCGCCGGAGTCATGGCAGCAGAAAGCTAGAGAGGCGGGAGATGATGGAACGCAAATGACGAGAGGGTAACATAATAAACCACAGAGAAACCTTTAGCCTTGATGGTTTATCAGGTAACTCAAATGTCTGTGATTTGTGTTGCCCCACTTTTTGCTTTTGTCACATTTGAACATTTCAAATCAAATTCCAGAACCAGCCAAAGAGAACCTGAGTGACTATAAAGTGTACTTTCAAAAAAACATCAGTTTATAATTGTGGCTAAAGGAGCAAACTAGGAAATATTTATTTCTAAGAGGCACACTTTAAAGGGGTCCTAGATTTAGGCTCCGTTTTAATTTTTACAATGAGAAACTGCTCTTTGAGTCTCTACATAGCAGATGAAACTTTGTTGAGGCTCACAATGACCCAGGAGCCCTGATATATGGTCAAACACAACCCCATAATAAAGCTCAACAGTAGAAAGACTGATTTGCCCCGCCCACTTGGCCAGGCCATGAATATTAAATGAGCTTCATATTGATTGGCGGTTTACCCCAATGGCTTTATGACACAGAATATAGAAACTGTGTTCAGTATCTGGATAACTCAATAGGAAAGCTATGGATCTGGAGAGTCTGGATATTCCCAGTTCATCCTGAAATGTTATATGTGAGCTCTGACTTTCTCCTTTGTTGTTTTCAAGGATGCTAGCAGTAGCTCAGGCTAGCGTTAGCACTAGCTCGGGCTGGCATTGGAGCTAACTCGGGGTGACGTTAGCACACTTCCGTCATCGTGACAGGTAAAATACTAAATGATTTGGTTAATACATTAGATTTCTAAAGCCGCTTAAACATTAAAGACTCATCTTTTGTACGTTCTTTCTGTGTTTGTCTTCAAATTCCATTTTTGGTTCATTTTTGAACACAAATAAGGTTTTTCTTTACCTTGCTGACGTTTCGTTTGCGGCTGCAAACATCTTCAGAGCTGACGCTGATGGTGGCGTCACTTCCTACTCCGTTTATCATCAGCGTCAGCTCTGAAGATGTTTGCAGCCGCAAACGAAACGTCAGCAAGGTAAAGAAAAACCTTATTTGTGTTTAAAAAAAAAAAAAAAAAAAATGGAATTAAAGACTCATCTGTCAACATTTGTAGTTTTCTTTAAAGGGACTTTACAGACTTTTGAATTTTTATGCTCGCGATTGCCCCCTCAGGCCAAAAGCGTAACGGCAGCTTCAATAGTAGGCTCGTGCACGAGGCGCGCATGCTGTACGTGCACACTCCTTAACGAATATAGCAGCTGAGACAGTCCCTTGTGTGTGTGTGTGTGTGGCCTGGAGGACAGAGGACAGGAGGACGTGCAGCTAATTAATTAAATAATTTGGTTCTGTAGCTTTCTCTTCAGCACAGCCGACAAAGGTTTATGATGGGTCAGTCCTCCTGCATGCTCAGATCATTCCCTTCCCTTGCTTGAAAAATTGTTCCAAAATGAAAGTTGAACCCACATCTTTTTTATCTGTGAATTCAATGCCGTTCGGCGAGTCTCAAATAAAAATTTGGGCATCTTACTGTAAAAAAATATACCATTAATGTAAAAAAGAAACTCTAAATAAACTATGTTCACATCCAGAATCAAATCCAGGTCTTCTGCATGAGAGTAAGACATCTTTCAAGGTGAGCTACACTCTAGTAACATTCACAGTATCTGTAACGTTTATATCCTTGATGACAGCTGAAACAACGTCAAACCAAAGAACGGTTCGGAGTGAAAATGGCTATTTTGTTGCTAATTTGCAGGAAATATCTAGAAGAAAGTTCTACAGAAAGTAGCTAAGGGTCCTCAGAAATGTAGCTAGCTTTGTCACTAGGCGTTAGGAACAGCGACAAAGTGGCACTGCCTCTCTCTCTGCTGCTAAAGCTACGGATAGCAAATGCTACGGGCGATGCCTGAGCGTGAACGCGCATGAAGCAGCCTGCTCGACCCGAGCATCTCTCTTTTTCTGTGATTTTACAGAAAAACAGGCAATCACAGTAAAAATGCCAGGGCTTATTCTACAGGACCAGGGCATTGCAGGAGAATGTATGAAGAAGACATTTATTATTTCTATACATGTTTTGGCTGTCAGACTTCTATAACGTCCCTTTAAATATGCTGTTAATCAGCTTGTTGTGCAGCAACTTACCGTGTACGAGGCTGTTAGCTGGAGTGACTAAAGTATCCCACAGACACACGTTCCTGTCGAGTCAAATAACATTTCTCCATCATAAAACTTGTTATATTCACAAAATAAATAAAACTGAAATAAATAAACACACCACAGTCCCACCTGTTATCTGCTGAAAGACCTGCAGTAGCAATAAGGGAGGAGGAGCCCACAAAGACAAAGTCATGCGCCGTCTTGTTGTGGCACTGTAGAGTCTGGCAATCAGAAAAAAAGAGAGAAGAATATTAAAAGATGGTGACAGAAGATGGGAGGACATGAGGAGGAGATTAAATCAGCTGTAAGGCTCTCACCAGGTAGGGCTTGGGCGTGTTCCCGCTTGTGTTGGTCTGCCAGAGGCTCAAACCTCCATCAGCATCGACGATACCAAACTACAGAAAAACACACAGATTATATTGAAATCACTTCCCCTTTCTCTTTCGGGTTTTTGACAAACATTTAGGGGGTTTTGCGCAGAAACTGGAGGCAGAATATGAACAATCCCTCTGGTTGCTGTGGATTTCTGTTCCAAAGCAGTTTTTGCATAAGTGTCAAATTAGAATCAACATTTATGACATGAAGAAGAATTTGCAGCAGGGCTCTGGGTTTTAATACCGAAGGTAATTTCACTAAATTCACCTGTCAGTGTTAAAATGCTGCAGCTGATTAGTGGAGGTCCAAGTGCTACTTTTAGCTCTACATCTCTTCCCACTGCTTTTTCTTTCGGAGCATATTTCCATCTTTTGGCCAGAACGGGCAGATAAAACAGTACTGGCACCGGAGAGGTACCATCTGAGAGAAAATTATTAGCTTTAGGCAAGCACCGGCGCTCAAAATGCTCAGTAACAACGTGCACCAAGGATGAACTCCCCATTGAGGAGCGTGCCTGAGTGGTACATTTGTGACAGGAAGTACAGGAGTGTTTCTGTACAGGACAGGCTCACGTCACTGTACAGTATGCATGATGGTGGGCGCGCTCTCCAGGAGAGTGCAGGTTGTCGGAGACGTTGTCACCTTGTTTCCTTGGTGGTTGAATCGTATCCTGGTGACTCTGGAGTTTCCTGGACTTCTGAAACAGGTGATCTGCTGGGAATGACCCCACTCAAACATCCTCACGCTGCCGTCCTGAGCTCCAGTCAGGTCTGATGAACAGGAATAAGAAAGAAAACAGGTGGATCTCAATAAGCAACTTGAAATTCTGGTGTTTCCTTCTTCTCTATAATAAAGGAAGCGATTCATTTAAAGCCCCAGTGTGCAAAAATGTTTGACTCCTTAGCGCCACGCAGGTGAGAGTAGGAATTGCAGCTACAGTAGCCCACACGCATTAAAAAGGCTATGTGAAGCCACACACTAGCTTTCAACCGTCGGCAAGTTTTATTTACTGTTTTTGCTAGGGCTGTAGCGAAGCCTCGATGACGTCGACGGCTCGATTCTAAAAATTCGTCGACGTCAGATCCGGTAGTCGACGCACCACGCTCACTTGTTGCATCCCCAGGAGTTTGTAAATAGAGGAGGAATCTGCCTGTTTTTCCTCTAGTTCGCCCTCTTCTCCACCTTCACTAACATCTCCGCCAAATACCGGGAACAACGTCTGTCCGCTACTAGATTCCTTTCCTGTTTTGCCCGCCTTCGTCTCCCGGCAACGGACAACAACTTCCGGGGTCAGATGCGCTGCTTCGTCTCTACCGCAGATGTAGAAAATCACCGGGAGCGTTTCTCCCTTCATAAAGGAGCTTCTTTCAGACATTAGGAGAGCTGTTTTGGTGGTAGCAGTCTCTCCTCCATGCTGGTCTGTTTGCTGCTGGGTGTTTTTGGTTCATTTAAACTTGGAAACTTGAACTTAACGTTGGTAAAGCTACTGTTAGCATTTTCGCTAACAGCTTCTTGCGTTGGGATAAGCTGTTACATTTTGGTTTAGAGTTCATCTTTTTTGTGGTGTAGATCTCCCTTTTATTGCATTTAGAGTGTTGTGGGTTTTCGGTTTAGTTTAAAATATCACCTTGAGTTTGGTTTAACCGCCCAGTTTAGAGTTTGGACCTTTGGAGATCCTTATTTTGGTCCAGAACCCTGTAATCTTTGCCCAGTGGGACATCCCTACTTATTTGTACTTTTGTTTTAATTCCCCACAGGCAGAATTATTTTTATTATTCCCAACCTGTGGATGGAAAGATTTATGATTTTTTGTAGTTGTAAATAAACCCGATCATAATTTTAACTTTTAAATCCCGTTTTTGTCCCTTCCTTTTTGCACACAAGCCAAACTCCCCAGGAAGAGTTGTAACACCACTCGCCTCACGCACATAAGTGACCAAAACAAAGCAGCATGGAGACACTCCGTCCCCAACCACCTCTCAGGCAGCGGCCTGCACTCCCAAGTTCTACACGTCACCAGAACATAACCAACCAACACAATAAAAGCAGTGTTATACAAAATGGAAGGCCTGGAGTGTTTTTTTCTCTTACAGTAACAATTTATCAATTTTTTGAGGAATTTATTAGAGATTTTTTGGTTTTTATTAACTGTGCAATAGAAAATTAATCACAAGATTAATTGTCTAAATAGTCATTAGAATAGCTGACTATTAGATAAAATAATCGTCAGAATAATCGTTTAAAAAATAATTGTTCACCCTCAGCCCTAGTTTCTGCTGCTTCCTGCAGTCAGCCTCTATCTCAGGGATTAGACAGCCCTCTGTTCTCAGTGCTGCCTCACTAACACATCTGTAACATCTGGAGCAACACTCGTCTCCCAGTCCCATGCGACCCCGCCAGTTCTGAACAACTTCCAGCTTTCAATCCAGCAATCACATGTATGAGAGCAGGACAAGCAACCCAACGGGAGGGAGCAGAATTTCCCCAAACCAGCAAGGCTGCCTCGGCGAAAACAGGCGCCACGTTTAGGGGAAGGAGAACTTGTCAAAGCGCAAACGCAAAATGTGGAGCATTATATCTTGTATGTCCCTAAACAGCTGTGGTATTTCAAAATGGCGCAAACTCTTAGTACCGTATTGACCCGAATACAGGACGACCCCGATTGTAAGATGACTCCCTTTCCAGGAAAAGACAACAACAACAAAAATTATCACATTTTAAGTAAATTATTTTTATTGAAAATTTAAAAACAAATTCTGAGCAAAAATACTATTTTAATGCAAACTATCAGAACTTTGCTGACATGTGAAATCAAAAGCTAAATGGGGCTTTTATTCAGACGCCCTCTGCCTCGCTGTACTCACTCTCATTCACACTCATGCTGCTGCGGTCCCTTTGCACCATCAGATCGCTACATCTGCCGACTCCTCCCACAACGTCATCCTCACTGACATCCAATGCATCCATGTCTGACGCCTCTGCTGCACCATCGTCTTAAAACTCGCATAACTCTGCCGTAGCTTGTTAACTTGCTCCACTTTCGGTCCACTCTGCTCCGGACCTCTCACCTCCATTTTTTTCTCCTGTTGAGAACACACTGCCTGGCGCCCTCTGCTGTTACGGGCGTGTAATGACCCCAGACAAATATCAGCATGTGTAAATGCTTAGACCCCAATTATAAGACGACCCCATATTTTGAAGTTATTTTCATTGAGAAAAACCTTGTCTTATAGTCCAGTCAATACGGTAATTATCTTGTAAAATAATAAGTAAAAAATGGCATTAAGCTGGAGCCTGAGGTCGATAGGCGGATTGGTGCTGCTCCTCCACATCGAGAGGCGCCAGTTGAGGTGTGTTACGGATCCTAGGCTCCCGCGCCTTGTGTGGCCCCGTGTTTTTCCCTCCAGGCTTTTCAGGACCTTGGACAGGTCCTCCGTCAGGCTGGCCTCCGCCTCGGCCCGCCTTCTCTACAACAGTTGCAGACAATCCCGTAATGATGAAGGCCGCTAGTTAAAAGGACTCCTGTTTCAGTTTTCAGTGAGAGAATCACAGAATAAACTATCTTTCTCTCCTCGGTTAGCTTGGTTTGATATTCGGATTGACTCGGTATGGAATTCAGATAATAGTAATCAGTAACCTTTGTTCGTTAAAAGATCCGTTTGTTTCTGCCCCAGTGAGGCCCTTTTCGTTTTCGTTTTCAGCTTTATAGCTCGCTTTTCATTTAGACCTTTTTACACGTTGATAGCCGTCGAGATTTGGTTTTTAGTTAGTTCCGGCACTTTGTTTTTCTTTTTAGAATCTATAGTTAGTTTCGTGTTTTTCTTCCCTGGAACCGTTTGTCCCAGGTGTTTTGAGTTGCCCCCGTAGTGCGTTTTCTTTTAGTTAGATTAGAAGAGTGGTTTGTTTGAGTTTTCCGGTCTAGGACCGCGTATTTTGGTTGCCCCCTCTGGTAAAATAAACACCTTTTATTTATACTCACCCCTCCTTCTCCGCATCAGTTCTTATGTTACCCCTTTCCACAACACTTAACACACAGGGTTTGTAACAAGGTGGCTCGGGCATCGGATTAGGATGCCTCCTGGAAGCCTCCCTGGTGAGGTTTTCCAGGGATGAGACCTAAAGGGAGACCTAGGACACGCTGGAGGGACTATGTCTCTCACCTGGCCAGGGAGCGCTTTGGGATTCCCCTGGAAGAGCTGGCCCAAGTGGCTGTGGAAAGGGAAGTCTGGGAAGATTTAGGCTGCTGCCCCCGCTAGCGATGGGTACCGAATTCGGTGCTTTTTAAGGTACCGACTGAATTCCATAGTACCGACTGAGCACAGATTCACGTCTTTTGAAACGGTGCCTCGTTTCGGTACCCGTCCTTCATTATGAGAACTTGCCTAGACAGCTGCGCATGCGCAAGAGCGTTATGTCGTCGGTCGCTGCGAGCCAGTTCTAAACAGAGCAGCATGGTAGAAAGAACGCACGCTAAAGCTTGGGTCCACTTCACTAAATGTGATGGTAACTGGGTGATGATGAAACCAGCGACAACGATCTAAGTGAGACATCCTCATCTTAATCTGCTCCGGTACGTAAATGAAATGTTTAAGATAACGTTAGCTTGATTTGTTAGCTTCCGTTCCGCTAATGGTGCGTTCGCTTTCTCCTCGGAACTCCGAATTTCCGACTGGAAGAACATGAACACGCTCTAAAGTTTGGCTTCACTTTACTAAATGCGACGGGTGATTGGGTGAAGATGAAACCAGCGACAACGATCTAAGTGTGAGGCATCATCGTTTTAATCTGCTCCAGCAGTTAAATAAACTAGCTTCCCAGTAGGAAAAATCAAATGAAAAAGGACGGCAAAAGGAATGAAGATACACAGTAAATTTAGTTCACAGTAAAGATGTTTGCTTCAGTTTAATTATCAGCTTATAAAACTACAAGGACGATGTTAAAATACAAACAGTTGTATGTTATTTATCGTGATATTTATCAAATATGGTTATATATTGAGAAAAATATATATTTAATTTTAAAGGAGAATTAAAATATTAAACACTTAAAAGTATCTAAAATTGGTACCGTTAAGTACCGGTATCAATTCCTAGGTACCGGCAATTAGTACAGAATCTATTCAACTGTCAAGCCCTCGCGACCAGACTCCGGATAAGAGGAAGAAAATAGATGGTTTCTCAGTGAACTTGCTCTTTAAACCAGGCTAAGACTTTTGCTACCCAAACTCAATCTCACTGCTGATTTAAGGAGTGCAGCAAGAGCTCACAGTCAGAACGGCGAACGAAAGAGAAAAAGACGAAAGAGAGATGGAGAATAAAACATTTTCTGGATGATGTAATCATCCCTGAAGGTGGCAGGGTCTGATCTGCCAACAGACGTCCGAGCTTTACTTACAGTACGGCAGCGTGGGATGGGAGGTCATTCTCCGCACGTTGTTGATGTTCCTCTTGATCATCTGGGAGCACGAAAGAGAAGAAATGTGAAGATAGAAGTTGACAGCAAGGAGTCACTTTTGGCAAAATATTAGTTTTGAGCCAAACTCATAAAAAAAACGGTGCAGCTCAGAGCTAATTTCTGCACTAAAAATAAACATTTAGGACTCTTAAGCGTTAGAAGGATCACATTAACACCATGACTAAGGTTATATTGTGCTGGAAATGAAACTAGAATGACTCAGCAAAAGCTGAACTCCACATGACCCCAGTTTGAATCCTCCACACAAACTTTTATAAATAGCAAAAATATTGTTTTTAAGGCCTTAAAGGTGACTTTTTAAGATTTTTTTTCTGATCACAAAGAACAGATTCGAGTTTTTTTTTTCATTGAACACAAAAGAAGCTATACGGTCAAAGCCAGCATCTCAACAACCTCTCAGCTCCTTTGTGAGTCAGTGATGGGAGCTAATGCTAGCAGCCACAGTGCTTTTGGCAAACTGGGTGAAAAAGATGAATTATTAATGTAGCTTATTTAAACGGCTTTGAGGATTTCGCTCGGAGTACAGCAAAGGGCAGATGCAGAGCAAAAGACAACATAAATTATTTCCAGAAGAGCAGCGGAGAGAGTGTTATCCATGTAAAACCACGGCGTCTTCACCACAAATACGATAAATACTAGAGTCCTGACCAGAAAGACACAAAACTAAAGGTTAAAAGTATTAATAAGTAAAAAGACTTCGGTAATGTGACTAGAAAGTGTTGTTATGCATAAAAATGACAATCTTCATTATGATTTGAACAAAAGTTAGTCTTTTGGGTCGTTCTTTTAGTGTAAAAAGTTGGATTCAAATGTGTTTGTTGGTTATAATCGCCAGCAGATTGAGGCTAACCCATTAAACCGAATCAGTGAGGTGAAGATCAGTTGTGCTGACATCATTTACTCAGTGACTGGACATGAAAAGCAGGGGTGGGGAAACCTGGTACATCGAGAGCCGCTATCCCGCATATTTTAGTTTCAACTCTGCATCATCAACAGGTGATTAACAGGCTTCTGCAGAGCCTGATGAGCAGGTGAATCAGCCACTGAATCAGAAGTGTTGGAGCAAAGACGTGAAGGATTACGGCCCTCGAGGACTAGGGTTCCCCACGCCTGGTTTAAAGAGCGACTCGTACCACGGCCGCGCCTCTGCCGGTCTGCTGGGCTCCGAGCCACGGCACACTGATTGGTGTGCCGGGGCTGCTGTGGGTGTACGGCGTGGTGCCGTGGAGTGCAACAAAGTCGTCGCGTGCGTGGACCACCAGGAAGTCGTCCCCACCAAAACTACAGCGCAGAAAACAAAAATCAGAGGACAGAAGAAGGTGACGGACTTGTAAAAAAAAAGCTTCTCTCACGTTTTGGTTTCCGTCTCATCATCATCGATCCACGCCAAAACCTGTGTGGCCAAGATGGAGGACACATCCAGCTCCTGGATATCATGGGTGGAAGCCATGGCTAAACAATTGCGGTTCGCCTGCAAGACAGAGAGAAGAAAGGGAAAAACAGGTGTGAGGGTGCCTTCGCATCACATATACTGATCACATGTAGAGGCGCGCCTGGCTCAGGTTGTTATGCACCAATGTGAGCACTCAGATGATCAAAAACCTCCAGAAAACCATTACAGCTACTGCTTTTTATTGTTTCTGGCGCTTCATTTGGACTCAGACTTGCCTTTACTAGTACAGTAACTAGTGTAAAGCTGATCTTCATAAGATTTAAACCTTTACAACTCACTTATGGGAGATAGACTTTTCATCGCTATGGTTTTCTTTTAAAAGACTAAAACCACCCTACCGTTAGATTTTAATTAGGGATGCACCGATACCGATACCAGTATCGGTATCAGTGCATCCCTAATTTTAATGGCAACGAGTGGCTCTCTTTTACTTTAATCATCATGAACAAAAGAACAGAAGCTTTAGCAAGAATCAGCCGAGGAGGCCGACAGATATCAACTTGTTTCGGTCTTTAAACTGAGAAAACGAGTTCAGCAGCAACAGAAACGCATAAAATCCAGATGTCACGCGAGAAAAATCTACTGTAGTGAGTTGTATTAATCAAGATGTGAAAAGGAGATGACGACTGTAAGATGTGTTTTGTTTTAAGCAACGTGTCTCATGATGCTGAAACGAGTCTCAATCAACTGCCAGGTCTACTATTATATGCATTATTATCCTTTATGGTAATATTACTACAACACCAATTACAGCAAGATTTTAAAAAACAATCAAAAAGGAAACTCTTCAAAAGGAAAGAAAAACCTATTCGAGTCTAAATCGTTAGCTAATTTGTAGAAAAATACAAGTTTTAAGTAAAATCTATATAAAATAACTTAAAGAGCAAGTCACCCCCCTAAAAGAAACTTACTCCACTCCCACTTCATGTTTGAAAAATGCAACAAATGCTGTTGCCTGGCAGACCGAGAGGGCGGAGCCGCTAACAAATACACACACAGGCTCATGACAGCATTGTGACATCATAATGTACCAGCTAGCGTCATCAATTCAATTCAATTCAAAAATACTTTATAAATCCCAGAGGGAAATTGTTTGCGGTAGTAGCTCAGAATAATAATAATATTAATAATCAAGTCATCAAAGAGTTGTTGTATATTACAACGGCTGTTGGCAGGAAGGATCTCCAGTAGCGGTCAGTGTTGCAGCCAAACTGAAGAAGCCTCTGACTGAAGACACTCTTCCGTTGTCGGACAGTCTTGTGAAGAGAATGCTCAGGGTTGTCCATCATTTTCTTGATTCTCTGGAGAATCCTTCTTTGCATCATCTCCTCCAGCGGTTCCGAAACTGCCGAAACTCTGGCTGAGTCCTTGAAAGGGCTTGGAGTTCCTCCATCTTGTTGGCCAGTGATCTCACATTGCCCATTATGATCGATGGAAGAGATGGTTTGAATTTCCTCTTTCTTGGTCTCCGTTTTGCTCCCGCTCTGCACCCACGCTTCTTGCGTTTTAGCGTTTTAGCTCATTTGGGATTTGTGGCTCCAGTTGAGGTATTATTTCAGCCTTCCCAATTGTAAACCAGTTGTTGCCATGGTTACGCATCATAACAAATGCTCAAAAAGTGAAAAAAGCTAAAAAAATAGCAGTAAAAGTCCTCCAAGCTTCACAGCACCAGAAACAGAAAAGTAAAGTGTCCAAAACAATACAGTTTTTCTTGAGAAACTAGAAGAAAAAAATGTCCAAGAAAAGGCAAAACTTACATGTAGTCAACAGAGCTACTCCAACATGCAGCCGCCCAGAGCAGCGCGGTTCCGGAGTAGTGTACCTCTTAGCCAATAGCAATGGCAGATTGAAATTAAAATGTGGTGCAGAGTTTTTACCTGACGACGGCGCAACACTGAAAGTTTTAGGAAGAATATTTAAATATTAACTCATTCACTGCCAGCCGTTTCCTGATCTGTAAAGTCCTTCGCTGCCAGCGTTTTTCACCGTTTTTACTGCTTTTTAAAGAGTCACAGAAAGTAACGCGCTACGATGATGTCAATGCCAAAATAACCAAAACAAAGCGGACGCTCACCTCTTACATCAGGAAGAACCCGCGTGTTTCGAGCGTTATCCGTTCTTTCATAATCCGTTGTTGAATTGTGATCGGCAGACACTTTTCCGGTTCGCGCCTCACTTTTTTTACAGCAGTGGTCCAAAACGATCTCCTAACACATGAATATTCTGCTTCCTGATCACGGTACGTGTGACATATGCGGATGAAGATCGGCTTTAGAGTTGAGATATTTGTTCTCATGGCGCGGGGCCTCGTTCCGACGCCCACACAGTAAAAACATGCAAATGACGACTTTAGTCGTCAATGGCAGTGAATGAGTTAACTAAGATGCCCTGAAGAGCCAAATAATTATTTACACATATCTACAGCATGATTAGGCACTAATTTATATAGTTTACTAGCAAAAAAAAAAGTAGATTTGGGGTGACTTGCTCTTTGAGTTGATCTGTTTGTTGATATTGTTGAATTTTTCTGCTCTAGAGACTCCAGTAACAATAACTGATGGGAGAATGAAGAAGTCCTCCTAGCGCGGCGCCTGCCATGAGGTGTTTCGTGTTACTCAGTGGTGTCTGAAAAGGGATTTTTACCTTGTTGATGGCAAAGGCTGTGATGATGTCAGATTCCTTGTGGATGATGCGCGCTTTGCCTCCAGGGCAGCCCAGATCTGACTCAGTCTGTGGTGAGGAACACACACACACACGCACGCACACGCACACACACACACGCACACAAAACATGTCACCACTACTGGGATTTAACAATTACAAACGCAACATTGGCAGACATTTCCTGCAGACATATAAAAATCATAATCCCCGTTCTATTTCCATTATAAATGCTAAGAGGCTGAATAAATGATTCATCACAAATGATCATCCTGTAAATCGTCACAACTCTGTAACTTATATTTCTGTAGACGTTGCATCAGACCACAGTGTGAACCACAGAAACCAGTATAAATAACTTAGAACCAATAGACAGCATAGGCTTTAAACCCCTGGAGCGATATGCACATATATGCTGAATAATAGAGACCCTGTGGGATGCTCGCAGCCCTGCAGCCCTCACTGTGGCTCCTCAGATCAGACAGATAACTTAAGAGTTTGACGCCAGAATTCCTCTAGATGAGCTCGTGAATTAGTCGTCAGCACATTCAGTCAGGGGGAAAAGACCACGTCTTTATTCATCAGGCAGGAAACAGTTAAATACAATGCGACTCGCAGAAATCTAAATATGGTGTTTTGCCATTTTCACTAGCACACGATCCCTGGTGGATGCAGATTCACTGCGACAGCGCCGGGCACATTAATGTGAAGCTGTTCAGCTTCATAGCTCGTCCTCAGAGAGGCTGGGTTAATTACCACGGAGCTAAATGGAGTACCTATAATGTGGCAGCTCTCACAGCGAGAGCCAAAAGATTAGAAAGCTTCTATACAGCATCAACGTTCAGTGTAATTCGACATTTACGGCTTGAATTCACATGAGTATTTCGACAGGGAGATTAAAATCCAACTCCGACAGGAACATGCAGAGTTCACAGCCCTGAAGATGACACGTTCCTCTGTCACGGCTGCAAATGAACACTTACTACTGGATTTATCCGGTCACACGAACATGGTGTCCACATTCCCAAATACAGGGACAGGTACCGTTCCTATAACACGCTGATGTGGTTTGTGTTACCTAAGGTGTCACATTAAAGTAAACAGCAGGATAACATTTACTCACAAGTCTACTAAAAAAGAAAACGCCATAAAAACATTTTGTTCTGCGGGCGGCGATGCTTCTGCGACTTCTTTAGAGGCACACCGGGGTCCATAAAAAGTAAAGACTGCAGGTACTGCGGGATCAATCAAACACACTTTATGGCTGCAGAGACCTTCCATGTGTTGAATACAAATATTTCATTTTCTGTGAAACTGCTTCTGGTTCTTAAATCTTCTTTAATTCCACATAAAGCATAAAGCAAGCTATTACTAATAAAAGACAATTATCAGGTTTATATCACTCCTGGAGGTCCCAGAACTGCTAATAGCAAAAAAAAAAAAGAAGCCTAGATGATTGTTTTAAATGATAAAGGATTAATAGAAACTGCTAAAAAATACTATTTAAATCTGGCCTTTTCTTACATTACTGATTTGTCGAGTCCTTTTTCTAATTATGTTTGCTGATGATACCGTATTTCAAAGGCAAGCTTTAATAATCTTATTTAAAGAAAATCACTGGCCTGGTTGCCTGTGGTCGGTGGTTTGAATTAAACAAATTATCTGTTGAACTTTATGATTTTAGAGGTTAAATATACCAAATGTATACCCAAAAGGCTCCGATGCACGGTAATTCCTGTAGAATTGCGATTGAATCAAACAGAGGTGTGGACTCGAGTCACATGACTTAGACTCAAGTCAGACTCGAGTCATTATTTTACTGACTTCTGACTTGATTTTGATAAAATCTATAGACTTACGACCTGACTCGGACTTGAATAGACTTGCATCTGTTGACTTGATGATGACTTGAGCATATTCGATATTTTAGCACAAAAGTGGCCCGGCGTGGACGAAACTCATAAATCATTCTTGGTTCTGGGTGTGATCTTGTTCTGCTAAATGCAGCAGCACTTTGTTTATAATCAGTTTCAGTTGCACTTCCTGCTTGTTTGAGCAAATAAATGAAGCTTTAAGAAGCTTTATTTCTGTCATTAGTTTATTATAATTGTCATGAAATAGAAGTTGGACAGTTGACTTGAATATGACTTGAAAATTCAAAGTTAAGGACTTGGACTTGACTTGGACATCCACATAATTGACTTTGGACTCGACTTGAACTTGGTTGTCTTTGACTTGGACTTGACTCGAGTCTTGACTGGAAAGACTTGTAACGTACTTGTGACTTGCAAAGCAGTGACTTGGTCACACCTCTGGAATCAACTGCCACACCTCAAGTTTTATCCACAAGATTCTTAGGAATCGTGATGAAAATTAAGAGTTGGACTGAGCACGTAGACCGGGTTAGTAAAAATGTACCATCATTTCCAGACTACTGAGCATGGCCGCTCACTACAAAGGAACAGAAATAGTTCAAATAGGTCACACTTTCTATAAGCTGCAGGAGGTTGTAATGAGATATTTACACAGACAGACTTACTTAAAACTCTTATTTAAATACATAACGGAAGCATTCACAAAAACATACAGTAAACGCTTTTTTCTAAACTGTGCAAGCAACACGGCTGGTAAAAAAAAAAAAACACACCAGAATAGCAGCCTATCGGGCAGAGTGGTTGATCACTATATTCATATTCCTCCTGCGCTGAAACCACTAAAGTCAGAATTACTTCATCTAACGCTTTCTCAGTCTCTCATAGATGCCAGAGTCACTTTCATCCAGAGTTTCGTAAATGCCAAAAAAAAAATAAAATAAAAATCCACAAATTATCCGTGTCATTGCTTAAAGAGTCAATGTGTAGTTTTTACCAATAATTTCTGGAAATATCCATCAAAATGTTGCTGAAAATGAATGAAATGATGCGCAGTTATTGAAAAATATTGGCGACTTTATAACATATAACAATAAAAAGCAGGTCTAAAATACATAGGAGCGGGTCTAAGTCTCTGGGTGACACCATATTGGATGCCATGTATCCTTCTACAGGAGCCCATGAGGACAAAATGCATTTACTGGTTTGTAACAAACGGTTACAAAACTTTCGTCAATCTTAAACATTGTTGTTTTACACATTTACCTCTTCACTCGTTGTCAGTAATGGAAGGGAATCTCATGTGCTTATTTTGCTAAAGTTAGCGCTCCCTGGGGCTTTTTGACCCTAATGAGCATCCATTGGTAAGGTCATACTCCAACACAAAAATACTGCTTGCTTGTAACGATTTAGGTATCTACTGTCCCCTATTGCCTGAAAAAATACACACTGTCACTTTAAGCTGCCGTGTTCAAGGTGTGTAAAAAATGTAGCGGCTTATTTTCCAGAGTGCACGGTATTAAATTAATTGCAGGAAGATTACAGACATGGGCAAAATTGTTGGTACCCTACGGTCAATGAAAGAAAAACCTACACCGGTCACAAAAATAATGTGAATCTGACAAAAGTAATAATAAATCAAAAATCTATAAAGTTTAACTAATGAAAGTCAAGACATTGCTTTTCAACCATGCTTCAACAGAATTATTAAAACAAAATTAACTCATGGACAAAAATGATGGTAAAAATGATGGTACCCCTACGTCAATATTTTGTTGCACCACCTTTTGAGACAATCACTGCACTATTAAATTACAGCACATTCCCTGTTGTAATTGAAGGTTATATGTGTGTGCTCCTATTGTTTTTTGTAGTTATATTAATGTAATAGCCTTTACTGAGATGGCGGAGGCAGCGGAGTTAAACGCCCGGCTCCCAACCGCAGGGTTGTGGGATCGAGGGATCTGCCGCGGTCGTGTCCTTGGCAAGACACTTCCCCCAACTTTCCTGCTGGTGGTGATCGGAGGAGTGTTTTTCGTTCTGTTTTTGTAGGTGGAGCCTAAATAAGTTTTTTTTTTCCTTTCTTTAAACTGTACAAATAAACAAATTAGAAAAAATGACAGAAGTGTGACGGAGCCCATCCTACGGCAGCGTGGAGCTGCCACCCATGAAAAACAATAGAGTGTTACATTATAATACAACAATCTTAAAATGTAGATATTATAATAATGTGTAAAATATAATTTTGTGCGCAGATGATAATATGAATGTTTTAAAAACATGATATATATAAATTTATATTCAAAGAACATTAAAAATGAAAAATACGTGTTCCGGTTATATCGCTGTAATTTCATTTGGCCCTATGTTTCTGATCCATCCCACTCCAACACCCTATGCAGTGATTAATCTTTAGCAGCAGTACCTGATTGCTTCCGGTCTCTTCCATTGCTGAATATTTCATACAGTCGGTCTGGTCCTCAACAGACTTTAGTGATTTTGGGGGGGGGGGGGGGGGGGGGGGGGGAAGCAGCAAAAGGGAGAGCCGCACACACACAGAACACAAAACAACAACCAGAGATAAACCATGCAAATATACACAGATATTGATTTACTGTGGCATTAATGACATTATGTGTAATTATTCAATCACAAATGAAAACATTAACATGCAACCAGAAGCTGTAATAAAACGTGTGGTCGGCATGCACAGCCCCAAATGTCAAAAAAGGACAAATAAGTAATAATTCATGCATTTTGCTTGGGGGTACGTACAGATGCACTGTGGATTTTATCAAAGCAGAACAATTATGTTCAGTGACAGTTAATGCAGTGAGTCTCATGCAGCAGGTCAGGGTGGCGGACATTAAGGGTCGTGCGTACCTGACTTGTTCCAGGTTTCTTGGTGAAGATGTTTCTGATGAACGTCTCCTGCACTTCTTCCTGTTTGACCAAATGCTGCCATAAACGCTTCACTGGCAGGGCTGAAAAATGGTTATTTCTGGAAAAAATAAAATAAAATAAAAGAACACACTTTAAGAGTAGTTACTACATAGTAGAGCCCTGCGCGGGACTGTTTTCTTCATCCCGCTCCCGCTGAATTTCTGACCATTACCGCCCGCAACGTGTGTGTTACACTCCCGCCCGCACCCGCAGCGTGCATGTCTACTCCCGCCTGCAACCGCTAAACTCTGAGAAATTATTACCTCACAATAAAAGAGACGTATCGAGTTTGTGTCCTCTCTGGTCCTGGAGAAAACGTGTCATTTTATAGGCTATACCGGAGGTCGGCAACCCGTGGCTCTTCCATCCATCTGATGCGGCTCTCTGTGCTTGTAAATAATGAATGGATATTTAAATAAAAAGCTTTATATTTTACTGCATTAATTTTACATCTGTATGCCAATTCTAAATGTAAAGATTGTCTGTAAACCTGAACAGGTCCAACCCGGTCTTACTGTGAGACCGGGTTGACGCGTCACGCTTGTGCGTAATCATATCGGCGCTTTCTGAGCTGAAGAGGATGTGAGACTCTGGGATTCTCCTCAGACGGCTCATGGATGTGTCGCCACATTGGATACAGGAACAAGCGCTATTCAGCCAATGTTTCATAATCAGGGAACATTTTCTAAGTGACAAGTCTCGCTTCAGTGGGAGGAACCTTCCCGCATGCGCTCTGGTTCTGCGACGCGCTCCAAGCCCCTCTCCACACCTTCAGCTCGCCGTGCACCGTACGTACGCGCTGACAGCGAGCTGCGCTGAGCAGTGTCCAGCTCAGATGTTCAGATGGGAATCTTTTCTTGGGTGATTTAGCTACACAGGGTATCTGCTGGTTTAAGGGAGCCAAATTTAAGACTTTTTTAAGACCTTTTTTAAGGCCACTTTGACCAAATTTAAGCTATAATTTCCAGCTATTGCCTGGAACCGGTGCTAACCACGTCGCAAACGTGGGATTAGCCATCCAGTTACCATTAAACTTGCGCTTCCCCATGGCGCAAGCTCCCACTAGCTTAACCAGCTAATGTGCTCATCTAAAAATAGCCCCCTTTCACAACCAACTGCATGTGTACGGTTCCGCTTACGCCAACATCATACACATAAAATGCTGAACACCAATTAGAAAATCACAAACATTTTATAAAAATAAAAGAATCTTGTTTATCGGGTCTTTGGTAATTTAAGACCTTTGGAAACTGTATTTAAGGATTATTTGTCATTTTTAAGGATTTTTAAGGCCTTAAATTTGGAAAAGCTAATTTAAGACTTTATAAGACGTTTTAAGGACCCGCGGATACGCTGTTTTAAATGGAGGATGAATGTCGACGTTAAAGAAATATTACAGAAGCATCATTTCATCTACTAAAACGGCTCTCCCTACCCCTATAAACTACATCCACATCAGTAAACTAACTGTTTCACTAACATTTTCTTTGGGAGAATTCACCTAAATACAAAGTTAGTACCTGAATGGAGTGTTGGATGGTTCGAACAGAGCTTTGTGTCTGAGCAGGGCTGGTCCAGGCGTGGTGGCTTCTTCGTGGAGGTAAGTGGAGATGTACTTGGATGGAGGTCCCTCAAAGATCTCCAGCCTCTTCTGCAACACCTGCTCCCAGCGTTGCAGCGTCTTCAGCACAGAGTGGCACAGAGGAGAAGCCACAGGCAAATCTGTGGTGAAGGAAACAAGATGAGCAGAGACCAACAGAGAAGAACAGGCTAGCCGGTGTGTGTGTTTTAAGATCTACCTAACAGATCATATCCTGCCATCGGGTAGAAGGACTTGAGGTTGACCAGCACCAGCTGAACCAAGGCTAGGCGCATTAAACACCAGCTGGGAAAGAAATCAAGACACACCAGATTAGAGTTGACAGGGATGAGAAAACGAGTTCAGACGGAACATGGAGCAGAATTTTAAAGCATCATGAACAAGTGGGAGGACAAACCGAAGCGGCGGTGAACACATCCTGCGAGTAACCATGGGCACATTGCTTGGGGGGGGGGGGGGTGTCTGCTCGGTCTTCTCCATCCCCAGTGAGTCGTGGAGGATGGCTGCTTATACTGAGCCAGGATTCCCTGGAGGTTTCTTCCTGTTAAAAGGGAGTTTTTTCTCTCCACTGTCGCTGCATGCTTGCTTAGTATGAGGATTGCTGTAAAGTCACTGACACTAGTCAGTGACTTGATGCAATCAAGTAGCAGCAGCAGCAGTAGCTCAGGTGGTAGAGCGGGTTGCCTCATGATCGGAGGGTCATGGGTTTGACTCCAGCTCCCGCCAGGGGTATCCTGCTGTTGTGTCCTTGGGCAAGACACTTCACCAAACTTGCCTGTGTTAGTGGCGGTCAGAGGGGCCGACGGCGCCAAATGGCAGCCTCGCCTCTGTCAGACCTCCCCAGGGCGGCTGTGGCTACAAGTAGCTTACCATCACTAGCAGTGTGTGAATGTGAGTGTGAAAGCGTCTTTGGGTGTCTAGAAAAGCGCTATATAAGTATATAGCATTATTATTATTATTATTATTAATTTGCTGGGTTCCTTATACAGGAAACATTTTTTCTGATTGGCTTAATGAACTGACCTGAAATGGAATGTTTATTATGTGAAGTGCCTTGAGACGACTCTTGTCGTGATTTGGCGCTATATTTATATATAAATAAATAAAAAAGAGCACGCTGCTAGAGGACATGAGTCACCTGTATGAGTTGTTGTTTGAATGTTCTCTCTGTGGAGAGCTTGGGTCAAACACATCATCATCTTCATCATCATCGTCGTCGTCGTCATCTTGGCTGTCCTGGCTCTGCTCGGAGTCATAATCGATTCCGTTTTCCGATGGCGGCAGCACAGGCTGAGAGGCAAACGAACAGAGCAGCAAGGAGGATTAAAACGTAAAGTGTTAATATAAAAACCTCGCCGGCTTATCTCCCAACAAACAGCTCATTCAACCAAGCTGCTGAATAGTTTATTGTAGTCTGTTAGGGATGTTATGGATTACCTTAGCAATAAAATAATCCCAAATGCTGAGCTCTGGAGGAACAAAATGCTCTTTAAAGATGGAGGTGGCTTCCTGTTCCACCACGGGACCGTGTTTGGGACTGTATGGCCCCTCCCGCTCAATCCCAGATTCCTCCTTGGATCCGCTGCGTGATGAAAGAAGCCTGAATCGTCTGGACCTCCTGTCCGAGCCAGACGGTGAGGCTGGCAACGTCAAAAAGAAGAAAAAAGTTTAATTTAACTTCATCAGATCGAGTTTATCAGACGCGATGCCTCCAAATGAGAACGTCGCTCTCAATCAGAAGCACTCACTCAATGGAGGTGTTCTTGCTGGGCTGCTGGGTTTATCCATGAGAGGGACCCGGGAGCCTCCTCCAAACACCGTCATCCAGAGTTTGCTGTTGAGCGGGTGAGCCACGATGCGGAACAGCTCGTTGCTGGAGTGAGTGGCCACGCCGTGAACAAACAGACTAAGGAACACGGCAGTCAGGATCTCACAGAGCAGCACGGCCAGACCCGGCTGAGTGTCCTCGCCTGCCGAGCTCAACAGGCGGACGAGGGAGGCGATACCTGGAGAGAGAGATGAGTGACATCAGCACAGAAAGTCGAGCATCCTGAAAGCTGTCACGGTAAATTAAATCACTAAACTGATTTGCATTTTCAGTCAGGAAATTATATTCTTCTTGCTGAATGGATATTCACATTTTTAGGACCCAAAAAATAAAAGTAAATTGGTCTTTAAATCTGAAAACAAAACCACACAAAGCTTAAAGACTTTGGGCAAAGTATTAAAAAATGGGTAATAAACCAAAATAAATAGGTTAATTTTCCAGTTAAACAAACATGAACAAGTGGAAAATTACCCTTAATGTGGATGAGATCGTCTGCAAAGGGAACCGGCGTGGAATGAATTAATTAAACAGGAACCAAAGGCAGATCTTCTATAATTAATGTAAACATAAACCATCTTGATCGACGGTCTGCGAGGGAAATTCAATACGCGTTTGAAAGGATGGTGGTGGGTTTAGCACCACGCCGTCCTTACTAACACATTACGATGTGTACACGCCCTGTAAGTGTTGTCCTAATTGTGTCACGACCAATAACGATTCCACCTCTCTCATACAGAGAAACACCGCTGGGACTGTTATTCATTTTCTTAATGATGTCATTTGTGAAATTCCCCCTTTTGAGATGATTAAATCAAAGAATTAGATCATCCAAATCCTATAAATGTCCTAAAAAAGGGAAAAGATGGTGTCGGTACAGGATCTGCTCGGGTTAGGTTAGTGAAACTGCATAAAACCAACATCGGACCGACAAAAAATAGAACAGTTCTTATATATGAAGCCATGTCTGTTTGTATTAATGTGGAGTTCGTCTGTATATTTCCTTAGTTGTTATCTAAATACATTATTTGACTCTAAATATTGCTTGGTGTCTTTCAATAAAGTTCTTATATTTTATTTTGCCCCATTTCATCAACATCAAGAGCTTTTGAGGGTCACCGTTTATCATTAGCTTATATTTTACATTTCCTTTACAAATTCAAACATATTTTCTCCAAAAAGTGTTGATTTTTGGACTACAGGACTACAACCGCTAAGACTACGACCGTAAATTTGTTCTGACCAATCAAAATCTGTAAGCTTCATGTTCAGCCAATCGACTACTTTGACGTCATCGGCAGTCGAAGGACCCCGAGCCCATCCTGCACCAACAATGGAACTATTTTAGTATTATTAACCAATACCTCTACTCTGAAACCCAAGACAAAAACAAAATAGTAGAAATGTTCAATTGCAGCTTTTTTAGTGATGTACTTATATAAAGTGGAAATAAACCGGAAATTCGGCCACCAAAGTTTTCAGCTGAAAATGACCCAAAAGTGCTTTTTCGGTTTTTGGCCGAAACGCCTAAATCACCGAAAAAACACGGCCGAAACAGGCCGTCAGGTGAACCACGTTCTTGTTTCATCTCTCCGCCCTCATGTGGCAACTTGCTCTTTGCTCTGCTCGCCTCCTCTCCTCAGTTTCAAACTCTATAAACTCCAAAAATCTCAATAGAAACACCCAAACGTGTTGCTCAGATTGAAGTTACACATCTCCACTATCTTCTGGTGTAAAGTCAAACCTGAGGGATTGTATTTGGCTCGTTGCACGCAATATTGCGACTTTGGGGCTTAAAGGGTTAATTTTGCGGTCCTAATGCTATGGTTCAAATTATTGACGTAATAATTTCTTCTGGTGTTTCAGTCTTCGGCCTTAGTTTCTTCATTTCGGTTCCGGCCAAGAATTTTCTATTTTGTGCCAATTACGCGAGCCCCATGCAACACACAACACTGCACACACACACAACACTACACACACACACACACACAACACTACACACACACACACAACCTAACAGTCATGTTTTTGGACCGTGGGAGGAAGCTGGAGTACCCAGAGAGAACCCACGCATGCACAGGGAGAACATGCAAACTCCATGCAGAAACACCCCAGGCCGGGAATCGAACCCGGGACCTTCTTGCTGCAAGGCAACAGCTCTAACCACTGCGCCACTGTGCAGCCGTAATGTCGGACATCCCTACAAAATTATTTATTCTAAATAGAAATGGGTAACCAGTATGAAACCACAGATCTATTTAATTTAGAATAAAGCTCTGCATTAAAGCACACCAGTCAAAAATAATTCTCTAGTCTCTACTGAATACTCGTGACATTTGATAGCATTTATAACCTCCGTGGTATTCATTATTGATCACTACACATTAAGCCTCAAATTAGCCTAATTAGCGTTGTGAATTATTGCTTAGATAACAGTGCTTAAACTTCAAAACGAGGCTCATAAATGCATCAAATAATCTAAATATTACATTTAAATTACTGTACTGTTAAAGGACAAATCACCGTGGTACTTCATTTGCTATTTAAGGTAGTGTAGGAACCAAAGTGTGCTGGAAAACATCTTTTTGTGTGTTGTCGACATAAAAGCGTTTCCAGCTGATGGTCTTACCTGGCCACTGAGCGGGAGAGGTGTTGGGCAGAACCGTCTCGTCCATGCTGACGCTTTTGAGCGGCTGCTTCTGCGACAGCGGAACGCTCTGATACACCGTCCCGGTGAAATGGTTCACGTGGCTGAGGGAGAATCGGGCCAGAGTCAGGATGAAAACCCAAAGCAGCGTTTACATTTAAGAAGAAATAATGAACAGAAAAGTGAAACAGTTTAGGTGGTATAAATAAGGTGTTTAAAATGTACTGTTTGAAATGTTAAAAGCAGGCTTTTAACATGTTGTTATCGTCGGGATGTGAAATGCTAATGTGGCATCGTAGGTTAGCTGTGGGACGTTGTTTGGTAGCAGGAGAAAAGCTTTCTTTAAGATGGAAATGTTGCGTTTCTGAACGCTTACGCCACCAGGGAGACTATTAGTCCTCTTTCAAGCTTCTGTGGGTGAAAAACTCAAGACTGCATCCACATCAAAAAGAATCCAAACGTTGAAAATAACGTCACTCAGAGGGAGAGGCAGCGACTGCTTCTGAGAACAGATGTCACCCAAAAATCACAGAGAAATGAGCAGATGCTGTAACCTCCTGAACTTTGGATTCAGAGGTTCGTGTTTAGGTAGATGAAACCTAAGCATGCCCCACTAACAAGAGTATAAAAAAAGAGACTAAAGCAGCTTTTCCAATTCATTTTCCACATGATCTAAACTGACAGGAAGTTTCCACACACTCGATAAACCGAACCTCCGTCTTCCACAGGCAGCAGCTTGCTAAAACAGAATAAAACGATGATGCTATAAAAAATTATTTGTAGTGCCCTCATTATTTATTATTCAGTTCCAATAACCTTCTGCCTCAGTCTCCATGCCGTGACTTATTACTGATAAGAGTGTGTGTAGCAGCATGAAGCCATCCAGAGAAAAGCCACAGTATCCTTTGTCAGAATAGCCATTTTGCTAAAAATCCAGCAGATTGTTCTCAGGCAACTAATGATATAGACAGAAATCATCACCATGGTAACTAGAAACCAGAGGAAAAGCAGCTGGGGAGCTGTTTTCCCCCTCGTATCGTGCTTTTATGGTTTGTCAGACTACGAGGATCACACAAAGACAAAAATTTACAAAAGCTGACTTGGATGATGCAGATGAACCAAACGGTGAATATTTACTGGTGAGTGTTTTAAATCAAAGTGTGTGATGCAGTCGTGTTGTCAGATGCTTGCTAAAAATGCTAAAGCACACTTTAGGCCACCACTACATTTTATTTTTAGCCACAGAATATAAAAACATATATAGAGACTATGAAGACCTCTGAAACATACAGGTGTCCAAAACAATGAGCAGAAAACACACATACAGTGTGTCTTTGTCCTATAAAGCAACTTAAACCATAAGCCTAAAATCTGAAAATCAAAAATCTGTTTTTTCTTTCTTTCTGTAAACGCACCCTTACCCAGCAGCAAATACATCTATCTAGAGATTTTTCCCAATCTATGAAAACAGTTGCTAAAGCCAATAGCAAAAGCAGATCTTCCATGTGAAAGGTTTTACTTCCAGAATCATATTTTTTAATTTCATCAGAAATAATAACAACAAATATTAACTCATTCATTTGCATTTTTTTACTGTGTGGGCGTCGGACGAGCCCCCGCACCGTGAGAACAAACATCTCAGCTCTAAAGCCGATCTTCATCCGCATTCGTCACACGTCACGTGATCACGAAGCAGAACATCCATGTGTTAGGAGATCGTTTTGGGCCGCTGCTGTAAAAAATGTGAGGCGCGAACCGGAAAAGCTTCTGCCGATCACAATTCAACAACGGATTATTAAAGAACGGATAAAGCTCGAAACACGCGGATTCTTCCTGATGTAAGAGGTGAGTTTCCGCTTTGTTTTGGTTATTTTGGCGTCGACATAATCCTAAAGCACAACGTTCTGTGACTCTTAAAAAAAACAGTGAAAACGGTGAGAAACACTAGCAGAGAAAAGCCTTTAGCTTTCAGGAAACAGCTGGCAGCGAATGAGTTAAGTTTAAATAACACGAAATAAAATACTTTTCAACTTTAACTAGAGCTTTAACATTGAATTCAGCGATTGTTGAATTAGAAACTTGGAACAGTTTAATTTTTGACACCACTCTGAAGCCCTCTACTGGCCAGATAGTGGCACCTACTCGCTCCACAAAACTGTGCCCTATAGGAGGAGCTCTTCACCTGCTTTACGGCTGTTAGCTGCTATGCTAGCAGTTAGCTTTGTCAGTTCACTGACCGTCAATAAAAAGCACAAGAAGAAGTAAAAGAAGCGTTTTGCGTTTTTTGTTGGCATGTTGGTCTTTGAAGGCAAAGCAAAGGGCTAAATGGTGAATGGCCTGTATTTGATATAGCACCTTCTGGAGTCCTGGAACCCCCCAAGGTGCTTTACAACACAACCAGTCATTCACCCATTCACACACACATTCACATGCTGGTGGGGATGAGCTACAATGTAGCCACAGCTGCCCTGGGGCGCACTGACAGAGGCGAGGCTGCCGAGCACTGGCGCCACCGGTCCCTCAGACCACCACCAGCAGGCAAGGAGGGTTAAGTGTAGCGATGGGTACCGAATTCGGTACTTTTTAAGGTACCGACCGAATTCCATAGTACCAACTGAGCACCGATTCACATCATTTGAAACGGTGCCTCATTTCGGTACCCGTCCATCATAACGACAACTTGCCTAGACAGCTGCGCATGCGCAAGAGCGTTATGTCGTCGGTCGCTGCGAGCGAGTTGTAAACAGAGCAGCATGGTAGAAAGAACGCACGCTAAAGCTTGGGTCCACTTCACTAAATGTGATGGGTAACTGGGTGATGATGAAACCAGCGACAACGATCTAAGTGAGACATCCTCATCTTAATCTGCTCCGGTAGGTAAATAAAATGTTTAAGATAACGTTAGCTTGATATGTTAGCTTCCCTTTCGCTAATGGTGCATTCGCTTTCTCCTCGGAACTCCGAATTTCCGACTAGAAGAACATGAACGCGCTCTAAAGTTTGGCTTCACTTTACTAAATGCGACGGGTGATTGGGTGAAGATGAAACCAGCGACAATGATCTAAGTGTGAGGCATCATCGTTTTAATCTGCTCCAGCAGCTAAATAAACTGTTTAAGATAACGTTAGCTTCCATTGCCACCATTGTTATCAGCTAATGGTGCGTTTGCTTTCTCCTCGGAAATTCTAACTTCCCAGTAGGAAAAATCAAATGAAAAAGGACGGCAAAAGGAATGAAGATACACAGTAAATTTAGTTCACAGTAAAGATGTTTGCTTCAGTTTAATTATCAGCTTATAAAACTACAAGGACGATGTTAAAATACAAACAGCTGTATGTTATTTATCGTGATATTTATCAAATTGGTTATATATTGAGAAAAATATATATTTAATTATAAAGGAGAATTAAAATATTAAACACTCAAAAGTATCTAAAATTGGTACCGTTAAGTACCGGTATCGATTCCTAGGGACCGGCAATTAGTACCGAATCTATTCAAATGTCAAAGGTACCCATCCCTAGTTAAGTGTCTTGCTCAAGGACACAACAACAGCGACAGACCGAACCGGAGTGAACATGGGTCAGTGTGGATCTTTCTCATTCATATTTTAATTTAGTATTAATTGGCTCATGGTAGTGTTAGCATGTTGTTAGCATAGCTACATCAGGCTGCAGCAGGGTTGTTTATGACAGTTGTAAATCCACTTTCAACCAGGAGGGGGAGGAGCAGGAAACTACTCAGTGCTACTTCAGTTATAGCTCTTTTGAATAATAGAGAACAAGTCAAACTTAGTATTGGCAGATTAGAGCTGTGCAAAAATTGGCAATCGGTATTGGTCATCTAAGACCACAAGAAAATTATACATCATGATCCTCAAAAGAACAACACTCAGCATGTAGTATCTCTCCTTTACTTATTTTATTTATTCATTAAATTTTTTTGAACAAATAAGCAAATGCTGAGTTTTTTAAATGTATTTTTGATGTGATCTCTGTCAGCAGATCACCATATCCTTCTAGTGAAATGGCTAAATAGAATAACTTGTGTGTGTGTTTGGCAGCTGTTCAAGGACGAAACATGCAAAATGCAAAGACCGACCTGTATTTGTGTCCGTCACAAAGGCACTGATATATACAGGCAGACAAGGAAGCAGCCAAGGTGTGCATCACATAAATCTGAAACCAGATTGGAAAATGTATTAGAAAAATCATGCTTGTGGCATCTAAATGTGTTTTAAACTGAGAAATCAAAACAAACATTTGCTCAACTGAAATTTAACACTGGCTAAAAGTCAACTGGTTAATTTTAAAACTTCCTGTGGGATTAAATGAAGTGCATCACCTCGTTGTTAACGACATCAGGATGTGGAGGCGAGTCGAGTGAAACGATGGTCTGTAAGATGTCGTGGGTCAAGTTGGTGAGGTAGATGATGGGGTTGGCCACCACCGTCTTCACGCTGACGGTACAAGCCATGAGGAGTGGGATGGAGGTGGGCTGGGAGCTCGCTGTCACCGCAGACCTGATGAAGTCATCCTGAGAGCAGAAGTCGGCAAGAAATGCGTCAAATAGTTACCATCGAACCAAATGAATGTGGTGCACAAACATCTGGTGTTTGAAAAATAAGTAACCCCACATTAAAGTAATTAAAATAGGACTCAGAATTAATGGTTGGTTTAAACAAAACAGATCACAAAAAGAACAAGAAACTGAAGGTAGACGTTTTCGAGCTTAGAAACAGCAGCTTTTCCTAATAAACAAAATTAAACGAGCAAAATCAAGATGAGCCAACAGCTGGAAACGTCGCACAAGACTTTTACAAGTAGCTTCCTGCTGATGTGTGATTGACAGTTAAAAAGCAAGAAAATAAAACACTGGAGATGGTTTGTGTGTGTGTGTGTGTGTGTGTTACTCATGACTTCCTGTGTATAAGAATACCATGGGCTTATTTTCGTCACCCTTGAAGAAGCACACTCAGTTCTTTCTAACCTACTTAACAAAAAGTCTCCACGCTGTTTGAACGCAAAGGAATAATGAAAAAAAAAAAAAAAACTCAACAACAATGAAGAAATTTGACAACCATGGAACAAGAACTTGGAGAAAAAATTTTTCATTTTAAAACCAAAGTGGTAGAACAGAAAAGACTCCCCGTGCCCACTGATTCTGTTCCCATGTTGGCTCGTTGAGTTGTTTACTTCACGACTTATTATTAGTCGGCCTGAGGCAGGAGGACTCGTGGCAACCAGCTGTTTGCTGTATTGATACGTTATGTATGTAGTCGTCCTTCTGATCAGTACACTGCATCAGAGTGATAATCATACTGTTGATTACAACCTCCAGGAAGAACACTGTCTATTTCTCTGATATGTTTAATTTAAAGTGGGAGTGTGTAGTTTCCTGCTGCTACGGTGCTAGTGGCATTCATTTCAGGGTAGTTTACACCATATCGCCCTTATGTTGCTAGTTTAAAAAACATTACGGTAAATGTTACCTAGCCTGGCCTGCCAGACTCGTCCTCTGTCTACACAGAGAACTAGTCTGGTCACAACGTTGTAGATTTTTAGCTGTAGTCAAAAATGGCGTATGGCGACGGCACAAACATCTTTCTTTAGAAGAGGTTAGCACTTCTACTTGTTGTCTGTGAAGGTTCTCAGTCATCCAGGTCATTGTAGTCTAAGGAGCTTTGAAAGAAAAGCGTCTGGACTTCTTTGAGTTGCTTGAAGACGTTTCACCTCTCATCCGAGAGGCTTCTTCAGTTCTAAGGTCAAATGGTGGAGAGTCCCAGATTTAAACCCATTGGGAGTTTCCCCCCGAAGAGGGAACAAAAGACCCCCTGATGACCTTCTACATAAACACATGAGCCAAGGTGTGAGGGTGGGTGTGGGTCCTATTCAGCCAGAGTTTCGGGTGAGCTTCTACTTGTTGTGGTTTTAATCCTCCCACTGTCCTAATGGGTGTGAGCCCGAGAGGAAAGTTGACCATTGAGCAGGATTGATGGTTTATCCCTTGAGGTCCATGTGGCAAGGGTGAGGAATGAGCCCCACCTCACCCCTGCCACATGGACCTCAAGGGATAAACCATCAATCCTGCTCAATGGTCAACTTTCCTCGCGGGGTAACCCACAAAGACAGTGGGAGGGTTAAAGACATGTCCAAGTCATTTAAAACAGAGGAAAGAGCCACAGCGAACTCGGCTTCAGTTGCCATGTTTATGGCAAACTGAAGTGTTTCGGTGTGTGTGTGAGACGTATGCAACTCCGCGCTAATTGGCTCAGTTAGAATTGTCAGGGGGTGGGGTTATTTGAATAGAAGAGTTCCCAGATCCAATGCTTCCCATAAGGAAGCATGGAGCTGGCTGGTCAGGCTAAATGTTACCTGAGGAGCAGAAAGCATGCGACCTTGGCGTGACTAGGGATGGGTACCTTTGACAACAACAACAATGGTGGCAATGGAAGCTAACATATGAAGCTAACGTTATCTTAAACAGTTTTTTTAGCTGCTGGAGCAGATTAAAACGATGATGTCTCACACTTAGATCGTTGTCGCTGGTTTCATCTTCACCCAATCGCCCGTCACATTTAGTAAAGTGAAGCCAAACTTTAGAGCGCGTTCATGTTCTTCTAGTCGGAAATTCGGAGTTCCGAGGAGAAAGCGAACGCACCATTAGCGGAATGGAAGCTAACAAATCAAGCTAACGTTATCTTAAACATTTTATTTACCTACCGGAGCAGATTAAGATGAGGATGTCTCACTTAGATCGTCGTCGCTGGTTTCATCATCACCCAGTTACCCATCACATTTAGTGAAGTGGACCCAAGCTTTAGCGTGCGTTCTTTCTACCATGCTGCTCTGTTTACAACTGGCTCGCAGGGACCGACGACATAACGCTCTTGCGCATGCGCAGCTGTCTAGACAAGTTCTCGTTATGAAGGACGGGTACCGAAACGAGGCACCGTTTCAAATGACGTGAATCGATGCTCAGTCGGTACTATGGAATTCGGTCGGTACCTTAAAAAGTACTGAATTCGGTACCCATCGTTAGGCGTGACTCCTCAGACTTTGATGGTCCTTCAGTTAATTCCATCCAGGGAATGCAATGCTGATGCTAGTTTTGTGGAGCTGTACTTTCTGAATCTGTTCCGGGTCCTGCACCTACCAAGGATCAGCGACAGGTGCAGGACCCGGAGCTGGCCAGAAGGAAACATGGTGTTCTTGGGAGACGCCATATTAAACGCCCAATGTAGACTTGATTTGTATGGTTATATTTTCTGAAGACGCCCATATTTGCCAGTGACCGAACATCAATTTATTCATGATCAACGACATTTTGATGGATATTTCCAGAGATTGATGGATAAAATACACACTGTCACTTTAAAGGCTGATTTTATGATCAAATATTTAAAGTAGGCTCATTCAGCCACTAGCATAAGTTAAATATGCAGCTTTGAGTCCTGATGTGACAGAATGGTTCTTTCTGTCTTTTCATTTGCACAAAAATACTTGTAATCCTTCATCTTCATCAAACCCCAGGAAGAACATTTTATGTACATATGTGTGCAGACCTCTACAAGAGGAGTCTGTGACCTTTAGGGCAATCTCTTCTACTAAATGTAATTTGTGCAAAGCCACAAAATCATCTTGATCCCTAAATGTCATTGTTTCAATGTGATTTGTATCTTTTTAGACAAATATACCAAAAGGGATAAACTATTTAGTTCTATACAGAAAAATTACTCTTCATGCAATTTTTGTAGAAAATTAGCTAAATTAATTATTCAGTCAGTTTTTACACTGTACCATAACTCAAAGAATAAATCAAGCTGTTGGGTCATTTATAACTTAAATATGTAACAAAGCTTTAAAAAATGTTTTATTTTACTGATTTTCACTGGTTTTGGTACAAAGTAGGAGTGGGACTCGATTTAAAAAATGAATCTAATTAGAGGCTTTGTAATTAATTAATCTTGATTAATCACATTTTAAACGTTCAAGACAATTTGTGGCCAAGCAATTTTTTTTAATCAAAACAAATTTAGATTAAAAAAGGTCTGTTTAATTACTTTGGTCTCATTATAATGGTAATCATTGTGGCATTTGTTGGGATATGTAAATATTAGTACATGTGTTACTGATGAAGTGTAAACGGATATGGAACACGGTAAATGTTGTGCACTGAACTGAATATTAGGTGGCAGCTGAACACTGCTAACATATATAGAGGTGTAGTGTAGAGTTCAGGGGAAGTTCTGCCTTCCTACTGTAATAAAGTTTATTTGGATAAAGTTGCTGCCTGCTTTCTACCAACTAGAAAACAACTGGCAAAAGTAGATTATTTTTCTTTCTTTTCTTCATGGCGATTTGTCATGAATCATTTGTAACGTACTAAAAGGGTCAATTCAATTTTCACCTATACATTGATCAACACAATAACCTTTCGTCTACAGCATAAATCCACTTTCTATTTGGCCTTCTATATCCAGAAGGTTCTGTTCAGCGCGTGTTGACATTCCATGAAGACAAAACATTCAAACAGACACTCCGTCCCAAGGTCCTGCACTCTCTGCTTAGAAGCCAGACGACATTATTCACTCTGAAAAAGTGAAGACTCAATGATTTTACAGTTAGAAGTTAAATAATCATATGTGATGAATAGGGCTGTCGCGGTTGAGGAATTCCCCCTGCGGTGATTCAGGGTGGCTTAATATTGCGGTGTGCGATATTATTGCATTCTCTTTTTATTGCAGTACTATCTAAACATAATGCTTACACATTTAAAAAAGGTTAAAATTGCCGTGCCTTCTTTAATAACACTTTACTGAATGCAGATCAAAGGGCAGTAACAACACAGATCGCAGTAACGTTTGTTTCTCCGACAGTCGAAGTCCGACTGAACTTAAAAACAACAAAATTCAGGAGAAGGTTAAACTTTTAAATGCAAATTTGGCTGCAGCATCTAACAAATAAGAAACAAGTCCCCATTTTGTTTAGTTGTTTAAAATCAAGCATAAAAAATTACATGTACCGGGCGCGGGGCACTATCATTTCACTTTCACACACACGAATGACGGTGATTTATAGCTCGGTCACGTCCTTGTTACCCACAAGGAAAACCAGCATGTTAACCATATACGGTTTGAGAGAGGATCTGAGTGGCAACATTTGCAGCAACACTGAAAACCCTCTCGGATGGTGCGCTCGTTGCACTAACGCACACGTACTTGCGTGCGACTCTGGCGAGCAAAGGGAATCTCTCCCGGTTGTTGCTCCACCATGTCAGGGGGGTTTTCTTTAGGGTGAATGCATTCCTCCTGCAGGTAGCGAGTGAGCTCCAGCTCGGCTCAAACTCTCTTCGGGACGGTTGCAGAAGCAGTGCTTGTCCGGGACTTCAGCAGGTCTCCGAGCGTTTATTATTATTTTTTTGCCGCTGGTGGCAGCTCCGTCTCGGCCAAGGACTCTGGCCGCGCAGCAGCTGACGTACTGAAAACCAAAGTGCTCCCAAAGGAGCGAAGTAACGTTTCGTTTTGATACCAGTGC